CGCCCCTCGTCGCGGCCCCGCCCCTTTTCGCGGCCCCGCCCTCCAACCAGGCCCGTGGTGGGTCCCTTTCACCACCCCGCCTCCCCCCCCCACCCCCCCCCCCCCCCCCCCCCCTCCCCCTGCCATTTCCCGTCGTCCGTCGAGGCGACCTGAGGGGGCCGCTTGCGCCTGAGGGGCGAGCTGTGGGGTGGCGGGTATGGGGGTGGCCGGTCTTCCTTCCTCCCTTTGCTCCTCCTCCTCCTTCGTCTCCCACTGCTGCAGCTGTCGCTGAGGGGGGTGGATGTGTGGGAGACTGGGTTTAGGGTTTAAGGGGGGTGTGTGGGAGTAGAGCTAGCGGTGTAGCAGTGGGTGTGTATCAGGGGGGTGGGACTGTGTGCGGGAGGATGAGCGGAGGTTGCCAGTTTGTCGTCAGCAGCACCTGTAGTCCGGGGCGCTGTCCCGGTAGCCTAGTGAGCTAGACTTCTACGCCAGCCGCCTGTGGGTCCGTTGCCCGTCCGCCGCTATTTGAGCCGCGGGGCCTGTTACTCCTGTAGTCCGGGCGCTGTCCGGTAGCCGCTGTGCCAGTCTGCCTCCTGCTGCCCGTGTGTGTGCAGCTTCAGCCGTCGCCTCCTATCTCCTCTCCCCTCACTCTCCCTCCTCCTCCTCACTTGCCCGTTGTGACTACCACTAGCTTTGCTTATAATTGTTAACTCTAAACTATTTCTTCTTGAACTTGTGCTCAGAATGTGTGGTGACATTGTGATCCACCCTGAGCTTGTATTGCTTTGCCTGCTCTGCTGATTACACCCCACTTTGGCTATGGGGGTGTGTCAGAATATTATCTTATGTTCTAGCCTGTAGTGGGGTGCTCTATAGCGAGTACAACCCTTCTAGGGTTTTGCTATTTGTATCCTCATTCCTGCTAGTTCAATCCTCTTTCTTCTTCTAACTTTTGTCAGAGCTGTCGAGCGATTTTCAGAAACTATTGGCAGCTGTACCACCCGAACTTCAGGCACTACTGAAACGATTCCCGGGTATCTTTCCGGATGACTTACCACAAGGGCTGCCACCTCAGCGGGCGCATGACCATAGGATCAAGTTAGAACCGGGGGCACAGCCAACTGTATAGCGCCAGTTCAGACTGACACAGCCCGAGCTCGACGAACTAAGGAAGCAGTTAGATTATCTGTTAGAAAAGCAGTTTATCCGACCGAGCTCGTCACCGTTCGCCGCACCGATACTGTTCACACCGAAAAAAGACGAAGGGTTTCGCATGTGCATCGACTACCGAGCGCTTAACAGGGTAACATTCAAATCACGGTACCCCATCCCCCGCGCCGACGAACTGATCGACCAGTTACGAACCGCACGGGTATTTTCGAAAATAGACTTACGAGAAGGTTACCATCAGATTCGGGTCGAGCCATCGGACTGCGCCAAGACAGCATTTAGAACTAGGTACGGGTCATTCGAGTATACGGTGATGCCTTTCGGGCTGACCAACGCGCCCGCCACATTTCAAATGACCATGAACGAGGCGTTTAGGCCACTTTTAGATAAATGCGTCATAGTTTACCTTGACGACATTCTCGTTTACAGTCGGGACAAGCAACAGCACTTAGTCGATCTCGAAGCAGTTTTTAAAATTTTAGCGGAACATCGGTTACTCACCAAGGGCTCCAGGTGCGAGTTTTTTCGGGACAGGCTAGAATTTTTAGGACACGTTATTTCGGAAACTGGAGTTGAAATCGACCCTAAGAAGCTGGATACTGTCAACGCGTGGCGTCCCCCGACGAACATCACGGAACTGCAGAGTTTTTTAGGGATCGTTAATTTCGTCCGTCGGTTCGTCCCCGACATGGCACGCTTAACAGCCCCACTCACAGATTTACTGCGTAAGGGGGTCGTTTTTACGTGGGGGGAGAAAGAGCATGCTGCCTTCTCTGCCCTGAAAACTGTTCTCTGTTCACCACCCGTCCTACGCATCGCTGACCCACATCGCCCCTTCGAGGTTGTTACAGACACGAGCGACATCGCCATCGGAGCCGTACTGTTACAGGACTTCGGCAACGACCTCCAACCCATCGCCTACGAATCACGCAAACTGCATCCGCCTGAGCGAAATTACCCGATACACGACCGCGAAATGCTCGCGATCGTGCATGCATTCAAAGTGTGGCGCTGCTACTTGACCGGCGCAGACGTGACAGTACGGACAGACCATCGATCCCTACAGTACCTCCGTGCACAGCCCCACCTCAACCCACGACAGATTCGGTGGCTCGACTTCCTCGAGTCGAACTTCCATTATACGGTCACCTATAAAAAAGGAGCCTCCAATATCGCCGACGCACTGACCCGCCCCACTGCCCAGATCCATGCGATACTACTCGCCCAGACCAGTCCGCTACTGACAGGACTATTTACCCACGGATATCAAACAGACCCATTCTTCACAGGAGGAAACTCGCAGCAATTCGCAGCAGCCAAGGGAGTCTATTACGTAAAAGCTGGAACCGACTGCATCTGGGTACCAGGGTACACACTACTACGGGAATTACTGCTACAGGAGGCACACGACGGAGTTACCTCGGGACATTTCGGAGTAGAGAAAACACGGCAGCAGCTGCAGCGGTACTATTACTGGCCTGAAATGTTGACCGACGTGCAACGACACGTGGCATCGTGTCCCACTTGCCAGCTCATAAAGTCAACCAGGAAGCGGCCGGCGGGACAATTACAACCAATCCCACCTCCAGAGCGTGCTTGGCAACAAGTGACGATGGACTTCGTCACGGGGTTACCAGCCGGGGCGAGTGGGAATGACGCGATCCTGGTCGTCGTCGATCGACTGACGAAAATGGCACACTTCGCAGCCTGCAAGAAAACAATCACAGTCGAGGAAACAGCCCGAGTCTTCATCACCACCGTCGTTCGACTGCACGGGATACCAGCATCGATCATCAGCGACAGAGACACGAAGTTTACCAGCAATTTCTGGCGGAACCTGTGGCAGCAGTTCGGCACGCGACTACAATTCAGTTCATCGTATCACCCCGAAACTGACGGACAGACAGAACGGACAAACCAGACCATGGAGCAGCTCATTAGGGCCACGTGCGATGACCCAAACACGTGGGAGCAGCAGCTTCCACTCATCGAATTCGCATACAACAACGCGCCATTTGCCACGACCCAACAGTCGCCGTTTTACCTGAATTACGGACAAGACCCCACAGTACCCATGACCCCAAATCCCGACAACCCCGTTCCACGTGCGCAACAATTTGCCGAGATTCTGCAAGCAGCACGGACCAGGGCAGCAGAAGCAATAAAAAAATTGAACATCATCGCTAAACGCAACGCCGACCGCCACCGCAGACCTGTCACTTATCAGCCCGACGACCTCGTTTTACTCGACACTCAAAACCTCCGCCTGCCCATCACTCCAAAACCCCGCCCCCGATACTGTGGGCCATTTCGAATTAGCCACATGATCACACCTGTCACCGCGCACCTCCTCCTCCCTGCTGACTGGTACGTCAGCTCCTCGTTCCACGTCAGCTTGCTTCGCCCTTACGTACCATCCACCGGCCAACTCCCACGACACCGACCATCCAGCATGGCACAACCACCATCCAAACCAATCATCACCCCCGACAAAATCCTGAGTCACAGAGTTCGCGACCCCCGAGGAGCCTGAAAGATCGAGTTCTTGATCTGCTGGAAAGACCGTACACCTACCGAGGACAACTAGGTTCCCCTGGACAGAATTGAAAACCACCCTGTCCTCACCGAATATCTGCGCAGCCGAAACTTCAAAGATGTCCACACACTTTCGTAAGAAGGACCTCCTTAGGAGGGGGGGGGTAGTGTAAGGAAAATCCCTTTTCCTTCGCATCCCTGCTCAACGCGTACATCACTGTAGCACCTCAGTCAGCACCGTTACCACTCGCGATCATCGCATCGACAATCATCCCGCCATTTTTCGCACATCGCATCCCGACCTCACGGCTCGGCTGGTAACCCGCGCTCCGGGCCTACGCCTCGACACTTTCCCAACCTCAGTCCCAGGCTCGTCGCGCGACTACCACAGACCATTACCGTTACCACTGTAGTTTCGCTATATATTCTTCGCTCACGCCCTCGCTCATTGTATTCTTGCTTCGATAGTGCAATTCTCGTTCGTTCACTCAATTGCACTTGTAACAGATGCTCACATAATGCTCCGATCTGTTTGCAAAAGCACCAACTTACAACCAGGTTTCCATAATAATCAGAGCATGGGGGGAGCTTTACCAAAAACATGCAGGGGTTAGTGCCTGAACCAAAGCAATATGCCGGTCAACCAGCTTCTTGAGCTGTTTAGGTCTCCCCTACAACATGCCACAATGCAACACAGATGCTTATGCATCCTTAGGACTACTATACAGACTGCAATAAATTATGCTGAGAGTCTGGAAAGAAAATTAATCACATTGCATATTGCAGAAAAGCAGCTTGTTTGGAAATGCAAACAGCTGCAGCTATCAAAGGGCTCATGGCTTTTTGATCCCGAGCCAACCAAGGCCCTTCCGAGAGGAGCCCTGAGAAAGAAGGAAGAAAAAGGAAACGGGGGGAAATAAATCAAGGGATGGAAGATTATGATACCATCACGTAGGTGTAGCTATGAACTCCGAACGAGCTGATCAGGAGGGCAATAAGACTACATAAAAGCTTTGTTTCCCCCTTGGTTCTCCCCCTTTTCTAACAGTCCCATCCTCTGATTCAGCCAATTCCTGATGCTCCTCTCGACACCCTTCACATTCACACTCTTCTTTCCGCATCCCACCCCACCCTCACCTCCACATCTCACTTCCACACCCCTCTCTCACCCCACACTCCCCGCCCCCGCCCCCACACTTCCACTTCTCATGCACATTTGCCTTGAACTGCCGAATGCACAGCGCTGCTAAGTCCTTTCATTCAACCACCCCCGCATGCTCCTCTCACCACCCAAAACTCCACACTCTCCCCTTACTTCAACACTCTCCTCTCTCCTTCACACCCCCTCTCACCTTCTCATGCACGTTGGCCTTGAACTGCCGAATGCACAGCGCTGCCAAGTCCTCTCATTCAACCACCCCCTCATGCTCCTCTCCCCTTACCTCCACACTCCCCTCTCACCTTCTCATGCACGTTGGCCTTGAACTGCCGAATGCACAGCACTGCCAAGTCCTCTCATTCAACCACCCCCTCATGCTCCTCTCCCCTTACCTCCACACTCCCCTCTCACCTTCTCATGCACGTTGGCCTTGAACTGCCGAATGCACAGCGCTGCTAAGTCCCTCGTTCTGAGAGGCTCAAAGGGAAGTTGATAACAGGGTAGGAGGATAGTGGGGAACAGGGGGAGAGGGAAGATGGGAAGGGGAGAGAGGTGAAGTGGGGAAGAGAGGACGGCACAATGGGCCAACATCAGAGGCACGGGGCATGAAAGAGAACGTGTACACACAAGGTTAAACTGGTAAAATCTTCCAGCCTCGTAGTAATCTTCAAAGTACAAACAAGAAGACCTGGCATCCCTGAAATCAAGGAAGAGCTCACCTGGCATCCCTGAAATCAAGGAAGAGCTGACCTGGCATCCCTGAAATCAAGGAAGGGCTGACCTGGCATCCCTGAAATCAAGGAAGAGTTGCCGGCCATCGGAGAGGATGAAGAAGAGAGACATGCGATGCATGACACTGATCTCCACCTGCGAGAGGGATTAAGAAGGGGGAGTGGGGTGGGGGAGGAGGAGCAGGGGACGGTCAGTGTGGATGTTGATGAGAGGAGACAGAGAGGATGAAGAAGAGCCTAGTTTTGAGTCGACTCAAAAGAGAGACATGCGATGCAGAGAGACATGCGAGAGACGTCACACACACTGATCCCCACATGCAGGAGAGGTGGGTTTGGGGTGGAAGGACGGGGCTGGGTTTGGGGGAAAACAAGTGGGGCCTCCTCACTCCCAGTGTCACCGTCCCTCACTCCCAGTGTCACCGTCCCTCACTCCCAGTGTCACCGTCCCTCACTCCCAGTGTCACCGTCCTTCACATACCGAAGCAGGCTAACCACACCCCAGTGCCCTTGCCTTGCTCGCAGCGGTGAGATCCCCACAGGGCTCCTTGATGAACGCCTTGGTGGCCTTAGATTCTCCCCACTTGCAGCATCACTGCCTCAATCCCACAGAGTTACTGCTGCACGACTAAGACACTCACCGCTGTGAGATCCCTGATGCATGCGTTAGACACTCACCGCAGTGAAATTGCCCCAGGGCTCCTTAATAAACGCCTTCTTGGCCTTGCGCAGCACAAAGTCCGTTCGCCTCACTTGCAGAGTCACTGCTACCCCATCTACACAGAAGCAGGCTATAAACGCCACCCCAGTGCTACTACAGTGCAACATTTGCTCACCGCAGTGAGGTTGCCCCAGGGCTCCTTGATAAAGGCCTTCTTGGCCTTGCGCAGCACAAAGTCTGGCCTCCTCACTTGCAGAGTCACCGCCTGCGGTGTCTGCTGCTGCTCCTGCGGCTCCTCCCCCTCACTGATCTCCTGCAAGGGGAGAAAGGGGAGGGTAAGAGAGAGAGGTGATGAGAGATGAGAGAGGGGATGAGAGAGGGAATAAGAGAGAAGGGAGAGAGATGTAGGAGAAACGAGGGATGAGAGTAGGGATGTAAGAATCTTTGCTGCTCCTCACACCGCCAGTACGCATGCCATGGCGAAGTGTAGAGAGGGTGTTTTTGAGACATCTCAAAAGCATGCCATGGCGAATCTCAGCATTGCCATCATCGTGTGGACAACTGATCAGACAGACCGGTGGGATGCACTGCAGTGTGGTGTAGTGTGGTGCAGTGTGGTGCAGCTGTGGGATAGCATTGGTGTCATGTGCCATGTGGCGTGACCCGGAACGACGCGGAGGAAACCAGTGCGGGGAAACTCGTGGTGGTGCAATGTGGTGAAGTGCGGTGCAGTGAAGACACGCGGCATCACAGCATACCACGAGGGTGGCTTCAAACTGGGTGGAGCCCTCTGATAGCCATCCTGCCAGTGTGTCCTGCACCGTGGGCTCTGTGTGGTGCCATGGGGTTGAAGGGGTGATGGGGTGATGAGGTGATGGGGTGATGGGGTTGAGGGAGAGATGAGAGAGGCGAGGTATCACAGCACAGGCCACCAGGCGGACCCCTCTGCCAGCCATCCTGCCAGTGTGTCCTGCACCGTGGGCTCTGAGCAGTGTGATGCCATGGGGGTGAGAGGTGAAGGGGGTGAGGGGGGGATGAGAGAGGCAAGGCATGAGCAAGAGACGCGGCATCACAGCATGAGCCACCAGGTGGGTCCTTCTGCTAGCCATCCTGCTTGTGTGTCCTGCACCGTGGGCTCTGTGCGGTGTGATGCCATGGGGGTGAGGGGGAGATGAGAGAGGCAAGGCAAGGCAAGGCATGCCATGGGGGTGAGAGGGGGATGAGAGAGGTGAGACAGCACAGCATGAGACGAGACAGCACAGCATGAGACGAGACAGCACAGCATGAGACGAGACAGCACAGCATGAGACGAGACAGCACAGCATGAGACGAGACAGCACAGCATGAGACGAGACAGCACAGCATGAGACGAGACAGCACAGCATGAGACGAGACAGCACAGCATAAGACGAGACAACACAGCATGAGACGAGACAGCACAGCATGAGACGAGACAGCACAGCATGAGACGAGACAGCACAGCATGAGACGAGACAGCACAGCATGAGGCAGCAGATGCACCCTTCTGCCACCTGGTGCTGGCAGTGGCGTCACGAGATTCTTGAGGAGGGTGAGAGGCGCATGAGGAGGGTGAGGGGCGCATGAGGAGGGTGAGAGGCGCATGAGGAGGGTGAGAGGCGCATGAGGGTGAGAGGCGCATGAGGAGGGTGAGAGGCGCATGAGGAGGGTGAGAGGCGCATGAGAGAGGCACAGCATGGGAGAGGCACGGGATGGAAGTGGCACAGCATGCTAGTTGTATCCACAGTGTGTCCTCTTATCAGGTTGTGTTCTTATCACGTTGTGCTCTTATCAAGTAGTGTTCTTATGAGGTTGTGCTCTTACCGAGTTGGATCAAGTTGCCTTCATTGACCACCACTCGAGACAACTCCCCCTAGATGCACAACAGGGGCGAGTGGCACGAAAGGCATGAGAGGGGCGAGACGCATAATAGGGGATGAGAAAACAAACAGACATATGCCATGGAAACAAACAGAGACATGCATGCCATGGAATGACATGACATGACATGACATGACATGACATCGTTATGTGACACCACCCCCTCCCCTCTCCCCTCCTATGTTGGAATTGACGCTCTGGAGGGGTTGCGTCAAGCGTTTTGACGCAAAACGCTTGACGCGCGTTTTGACGGTTGACGCTGGTCAGAAAATTTTCGGGCAGCCCGAAATCGTGCGGAAAAAACATCATTCGCGACTTCGCTTCGAAATCGTGACTTCGAATGTCAAGTCGACTTTGAACACCCCTCACAAAACAGAAACACAAAACCATCCCCCACACCACATTGTACCGCAATGCAACTAGAAAATCCAACCAACTGAAGTGGACAAAAATCAGTCACGCCAATCCAGGTCGTCACTCTCTGCTTTGCAAGCTACTCGACAGAAATTAGGGTTGGATCGACTATCCTGTACCTACGAAGTTAGATCGCCGTTCCACTCCTATCACCCCTTAACTTTCGCCTTATCACTCCCCTCCCTCCCCCGTTATACTTTTCTATTGCTGCCCGATAGTTTTTTCCGGCTGCCCGCCAGAGCGTCAAAACTGCGTAAAAAGAATCAGGATTGTGCGTCAAGCGTCCAGACGCTAGCGTTTTGACGCTAGCGTCAAAGACGCTTGACGCGTCAATTCCAACATAGCTCCCCTCCCCCTCCCCACTCCCTTCATCGCACTCACCCACCGGCCTGCCTCGTCCAGCGGCACACACTCCACTGCGATGATGGCGTTGCAGTCGTCAGCTGACATCACCGGTCACACATGAACACACGCATGCACTCACTCACCCTCACTCTCCCAAACCCACTCACCCTCACTCTCCCAAACCCACTCACCCTCACTCTCCCAAACCCACTCACCCTCACTCTCCCAAACCCACTCACCCTCACTCTCCCAAACCCACTCACCCTCACTCTCCCAAACCCACTCACCCTCACTCTCCCAAACCCACTCACCCACTGGCCTGCCTCGTCCAGCAGCACACACTCCACGGCGATGATGGCATTGCAGTCACCGCATGCATTCGTGCAGGCACCACTAGCACCACCGACCCCCCCCCCCCCCCCTCTCTCTTCCCCCACACTCCAAGAGCATGAACTCACCCGTCTGCCTGCCTCGTCAAGCGGCACACACTCCACGGCGATGATGGCGTTGCAGTCGTCCGCTGACACGGCATACTCGGGCGATGATGCTCCTGTCAAGGGAGGGGTGGGGGGAAGGCAAAGAAATGGGTAAGTGGTGATGATGGCGGAAAGAGGGCAGCGATGATGGCGTTGCAGTCGTCTGATTTTTGAGAATTCTCAAAAATCGTTGCAGCCGTCCGCTGACACGGCATACTCTGGTGATGATGCTCCTGCGGAAGGGGAGGGGAGGGGGACGGGGAAAGGGACGAAATGGGTAAGTGTATGAGTGAGGGCAGCGATGATGGCGTTGCAGTCGTCTGCTGACACGGCATACTCGGGTGATGATGCTCCTTGGGAGGAAGAGGGGGAGAGGGACGAGACGAGGAGGGGGAAGAGGAAGACATGGGTGAGTGGATGAGAGGTAAAGCGGGGAGTGACGATGGCATTGCGGTTGTCAGTTGTGGTGGGGGAAAGGGGAGGGGGAGAAGGAGGGGGAGGGGGAGGGGGAGGGGGAGGGGGAGGGGGAGGGGGAGGGGGAGGGGGAGGGGGAGGGGGAGGGGGAGGGGGAGGGGGAGGGGGAGGGGGAAGATGTGGGAAAGTGCATGAGAGGGAAGGAGGGTAGTGATGATGGCATTGCAGTCGTCAGTTGTCAGCAGAGCCATCTTGGTGTTACCTCCCTCTTCATTGCTGCAGCAGTTGTGGAACGTTCCAAGCATGTGGTTGGTTATGGCAAGGACCGTTCATGTACGGGAGGGGAGAGAGCGAGGGTTGGGTGGTGCAAGGCTATTTTTGAGGCGCCTCAAAGTATATTCTTGAGGCGCCTCAAAATTGGAACGTTCCAAGCATGTGGTTGGTTATGGCAAGGACAGTTCATGCACGGGAGCGGAGAGAGCGAGGGTTGGGTGGTGCGAGGCTTACCTTCGATGAACTCGGCCGTGCCATCTTGGTATTGCCGCACCCACTGCCAAGAGCAGCCAGACGTAAGAGACAGGGTAGGGCAGAGCAGAGAGATAAGGCCAGAGCACCGGACAGAAAAGGCAGGGAGAAAAGGCAGCAGCACAAAAAAAAAACAAATACCAGAAGAGCAGAGCAGGCCACACAGGAAGCGCCACAGAAAGGTGCTTTACAAACCGTGGCTTCTGCGATTGTTAACGACGCTTTCAAACACAGCTAGCTGGGCAGTCATGTCATGCCTCATCATGGTCCTCACAAGTTGCCCCGCGTGGAATTCCCGAGAGGCATGAGGTATCAGGCTTGCCTCAGAAATCCCCTGCCTCAGAAATCCCCTGCCTCATGGTCAGGCCTCAGGCAGGCGACTTCTGAGGCAGGCGACTTCTGAGGCAGGCGACTTCTGAGGCAGGCGACTTCTGAGACAGGCGACTTCTGAGGCAGGCGACTTCTGAGACAGGCGACTTCTGAGACTGAGGGCCTCAAAGGTCGCCCCGTGGTCAGAACCTAGGACTCACGCAGCCACATGAACACCACCAGGCAGGGGAAGTGGTTCGACATGAGGAACTTACCTGGAAGACGCAAAGCTTGGTGCCGTTGACTGAGTGACCGCACGCAGTGAGCTTGTTCCCCATGGCCGCGTCCCCTATCACCCTCAGCCCTTCTATCCCCCTCTGGCCGCATCTCCTATCACACAAGTCCAATGTATCTTTGAGCCAACTCACAACCTACCTGGAAGACGCATAATTTGGTGCCGTTGACTGAGTGGCCGCAGGCAGTGAGCTTGTTCCCCATGGCCGCGTCCCCTATCACCCTCAGCCCTTCTATCCCCGGCAGCAGCTCCTCCCCCTCCTCCTCCCCCTGCCCCTCCTCCCCCTCCCCCGCCTGCCCTTCCCCTGCTGCCTCCTGCTGCCCTGCACCTTCCCCTCCCACCTCCTGCTGCTGGTATTCCTGCTGCTGATATTCCTGCTGTTGATACTCCTGCCCCTGGTATTCCTGCTGCTGCTGCTGCTGCTGCTGATAGTCCTGCTGCTGGTACTCCTGCTGCTGATATTCCTGCTGCTGCTGTTGCTGCTGCTGAAAATCCTGCTGCTGCTGATAGTCCTCCTGTGCATACTGCTGCACCACCTGCTGCTGCTGCCCTTCCATATGAAAGCTGTGGTGCTGCTGTGAGGAATCCATGCTGGGGATAAACTGAGAATCAATGGTGCTGCCAGTGGGGTCCGCACCACCAGCAGCAACCTCGTTCATACCCTGCCCTGCGAAATCCTGCTGTTGCTGATACTCCTGCTGCTGCAGGTATTCCTGCTGCTGCTGCTGCTGCGGTTGCTGCTGATAATCTTGCTGCTGCTGCAGTTGCTGATTTGCCAAGCCTTGCCCTGCAACCATACCGATGGCAATCGTTGGAAAGCATTGGTACAGATTGCACGAAATAAAAAGGTTGGAACGAGTAATGTTGTTGAAGGAAAGAAGGAAGAGGGGTACCGGGGAGTGGGGCAGAGTCATAAGGGTGGAGTGGATACAGAGAAATAGGCAGACAGGGACATTGTCTTAACGCTCACTCACCCTCTCATCCCCATGCCTCCAACACTCACTCACCGTCACCCGCATACCCTTATCTCCACTCTCACTCACCGTCATCCTCACGGATCGGAGCCAATCCACCGCCCCAGCTAGCGGCAGGGTCACCCGCTCCGCCCATGCTCGCCCCAGGTCCCCCTATGCTTCCCACAGCCCCCTCTCCCCCCACATACCCCATCGCCTGCCCTTGCCCCATGCCCACACTCCCCACCCCCTCCATCCCCCCTTGCTGCTGCTGCACTACCCCCACTCCTGCTCCACTTCCCATTGAAGCTCCCATAGTCGAGTCAGCAGCAAAGACGCCAGAAGCACCAGGATTGGTGGAAGCGCCGGGAGGGATGGGAGAATCAGAAGCAGAGGGAGCAGCAGGAGGGGCGGGAGCAGCAGAGGAAGCAGCAGCAGCAGGGATGAACCCGCCCTTGAGTGACATTTCAGGCTCCATGGAGCCACCGTACCCACCCGCCTGCTGCTGCTGTGGCTGCTGCTGATACTGTTGCTGCGGCTGCTGTTGCTGCTGATGATATTGCTGCTGAGGTGGCTGCTGGTGTTGGTGCTGGTACTGCTGCTGCTGCTGGTACTGTTGCTGTGGCACCTGCTGCTGTTGACCCATGTAATGCTGCTGCTGCTGCTGCTGCTGCTGCTGCTGCTGCTGCTGCTGCTGCTGCTGCTGCTGCTGCTGTGGGGGTTGCTGCTGCCATTGCTGTTGTGGTGGCACTTGTTGCTGTTGCTGCATTGGTGGCTGTTGCTGCCACTGCTGCTGCTGTGGTGCCTGCAGCAATTGCTGCTGAAGAGGCAGCTGCAGCTGCTGCTGCTGCACTGGTTGCTGCAATGACTGCTGTTGTTGCTGCATGAGTTGCTGCAGCAGCTGCAGCTGCTGCTGCTGCACCGGCTGCTGCAACGGCTGCTGCTGCTGTTGCTGCAAAAGCTGCTGCAGCAGCAGCTGCTGCTGCTGCTGAGGCACAGAGCCCAGCAAAAGCTGCTGCGGAAGCTGCAAGGACGGATAGGCTGTGGGAGAGGCGAAGATGGGGGGGAGAGCTGTGGCCGGTGGGTGTAGAGCAGAGTGTAAAGGATGTGCGGCTCCTGCTGCTGCTGTTGTGGCTGAAAGGTAGGCAGGGTCGTAACCTGCTTGCGCAAGTGCAAGACTGGGCAGAGGTGGGCATGGGGGGGCATGGGGCGGAGGGCAGGGAAAGGTGAGGAGAGTGAAGAGAGGAGAGAAAAGCGCGGAGAGAAGAGAGACGGGGTGGGGGGGGGGGGGGGGGGGTATAGGAGAGGAAGCTAGACAATGCATGCTGCAGAGATAAGAAGGCGGCTTCATTGTCAGAGAAGCCGCAACAGCAGCAACGGAGGCGCAGCTGCAGAGATAAGAAGGCGGCTTCATTGTGAGAGAAGACGGAAAAGCGCAACGGAGGATCAGCAGTAGCAGATGCAGGTGCAGCAGTAGCAGGTGCAGCAGCAGGGGACACTCCAGCCCAGCCCAGGCACAGAGAGGCAAGGCGGCAGCAGAGAGATCCACAGCAAAGGACTTGTTACGCACAGCATGAGCATGAGAGATTCGAGGGCACTCACCGCAGCAGCAGAGGATCAGCAGCAGCAGTTGCAGATGCAGCAGGAGGCACCAGCCCAGCCAAGGCTCGGAGAGGACTTTTTAGTCGACTCAAAAGTCACCTCGTTACAATGGCACACTCACCGCAGCAGCAGAGGATCACCACCAGCAGGTGCAGCAGCAGGGGGCACCAGCCCAGCCAAGGCTCGGAGAGGCGAGGCAGCAGCAGAGAGCGCAGCAGCGGAAGAGAGGGGGTTTGGTGCGAGGGAGGGGCTGTTGGGTTTGGCGCCACTGGCGAGCAGCAGAGCAGAGAGCGTGGGGTCTGTGGTGCCATAGAGCGTGGGGAGAGGGGCTGACTGCCCGCCCTGCTGCAAGCGGGGGGGAAAGGTTGGAAGGGAGACGGTGAAGAAGAGTGAATGAAAACAACAAGGGCAACACAGAGCAGAGAGCGTGGGATCTGTGTGGTGCCGACGAGCGTGGGGAGAGGGGCTGACTGTCCGCCCTGCTGCAAGGGGAGGGAGGGGCGTGGAAGGGTTGGGGTTGAAAACGGTGAATGGGCAGAAACAGGGGCAACACATGACGGCAGAGCAGAGAACGTGGGGTCTGTGGTGCTGTAGAGCGTGGGGAGCGGGGGTGACGGCCCGCCCTGCTGCAAGGTGGGGGAGGGGCGTGGAAGGGTTGGTGGTGATATGGTGAATGCAGCGAAACAGGGGCAACACGTGGGAGCAGAGCTGAGAGAGAGGGTGGGGTTCCGCAGGGTGTTTTTGAGAATTCTCAAAAGCACCCTAGCATGGGAGCAGAGGTCCAAGAGGGTGGGTTCCCACGTGTTGCCACCCTGGTGCCTTAGAGAGTGGGGAGCGGGGCTGACATGGAGCGGGGCTGACATGGAGCAGGCGAATTAGAAAGAGCAACAGGCGGGAGCAAAGGAAAGGGGTTGGGATTGGTCATGTCCAAAACCAAGAGGAGGGGGGGGGGGGGGGGGGGGGGGGGTTGAGGAAAGGGGAATAATGTGCGAAAGAGGGGATGAAAGGAGGAGAAAAGAGCGAAGCGTGGATGGCTGAGGGGAGTGGGATTGAAATGAGGATGATACGGTGGAAATCTATTGGGCGGGGGATATTGATCCGACCTTACCCAGGAACCTGTAGATGAGGGTTGGACTGAAGTTCAACCGAACTGAACTGGACGGAACAGCACCAAACCAGATTGAACAGAGCAGAGCTCAGGCCATGTGTGGAGAGGGGGGGACAGAAAGATGCGTACCTCGTTGCTGCGAGTGGTTCGGGTGAGCAGCTGCTGCAGCACAGACTGGAATGGAACAGAAGAGAGGAACCACCGAGAATGCCAAGGGAGTGCAGCAGACACGCGCAGGGGAAGGAGGGAGGGAGATAGGGGAGAAAGGCAGAGTGGGTGATGAGTGAGTGAGAGAGTGAGCGAGTGAGAGAGTAAGTTTTGATTGAGCTTGAGGGGCAGCGAGGAGGCATGCGTCCCTTTTCCGCGGGGTAACAGCCATTCTGAGACTTCCCAGAACGCGTTTACAGCACAAACTCAGAGAGAAGCTGACAAAGTACGGCTTTCCGACAGGACCCACCTTGACACTATGCCACGAGAGCCACCCACCTTTCCTTAAGGAAGGCCCACCTTGACGGAGAGCAACATGTGGTGCGAGTCAGCAGAGACCGTGAAAGCTCACGGTCAAACTTACGGAGCAGTGTGGCAGAAAAGGCCAAACTTACTAACCCACCTCGACAGGCCCCACCTTTTGGAAGTCCCCTCTGAACTTTACTTGCGCGTTACTACGACCCCACCTTGCCTTGATGCCCACCTTGGATCACAGCCCACCTTGACGGAGAGCATCATATGGTGCAAGTCAGCAGCAGCGGTGGCGGAGAGGCCAACCTCAAGAACCCACCTCGACAGGCCCTCTCTTGAATGACCCCTCCCAACTTCACTTAAAGCCCACCTTGACAGAGAGCAGCATGTGGTGCGAGTCGGCAGAGGCGGTGGCGGAGAGGCCAAACTCCCCTGCCAGTGGCGTGAGCGTGGTTATGAATAGCATGCGGTCATGCTCCGCTCGCTGGGAGGGAGAGGAGAGAGGGAGAGAGGGGATAGGGAAGGGTGGCCGTCTGGATGAGCTGATGAGCTCGGGGCATGGGGGAGCATGGAGTGAGCGTGGTGAGGAACAGCATAAGGTCACGCTCTGCTCGCTGGAGTGGTGGAGGGTACGGGAGAGAGGAGCGAGGGGAAAGAAGAGGACCCAACACGCACCTCCAGCGCGCGAGTGAGGCCCGGCGGACCCAACACACACATTCTCCTCCAGCACGTCCCGGCGGTACCCCATGGCCGATGAGACTCTACCTACCCACCACAGCACACTCCTAATTGGCCATGCCATTGCCACGCCAGTACAGAACACACAGCACACCCAATGCCCACAGCACACCCAATGCCCACAGCACACCCAATGCCCACAGCACACCCAATGCCCACAGCACACCCAATGCCCACAGCACACCCAATGCCCACAGCACACCCAATGCCCACAGCACACACCATCCCCACAGCACGCACCTCAAGCGCGCGCGTGAGGCGCACGTTCTCCTCCAGCACGTCCCGGCGGTACCCCATGGCCTTCTGGGCCGACCCCATCAAGTTCTGCTGCTGCCCGTCGAATGCCTGTGATGTGGTATGTGATGAGATGTGATGTGATGTGATGTGACGTGACGTGACGTGACGTGACGTGACGTGACGTGACGTGACGTGACGTGACGTGATGTGATGTGATGTGATGTGATGTGAACGTGATGTGATGTGATGTGATGTGATGTGATGTGATGTGATGTGATGTGATGTGATGTGAATGAACGTGATGTGAATGTGATGGGATGTGAATAGCACACAAAACAAGCAATTAGAACATCCTTGAGGCGCCTAGATATTGAAGCATATGATTTGAGCACCACAGCAAAAGGGCATAGGGGGGATTTGAGCATGAGTGGGGCGAGAAGGGGATGAAGTTTGATAGGGCTCCAGGCTAGAAGCAGTGGATGGAAGAGGGAATGAGAAAATTGTGGTTAAGTGCGGTGAGGTGCGGTGCCGTGCGGTGAGGTGAGGTGAGGTGAGGTGGGGTGCGGTGCGGTGAGGGTTCTCACCAGCCGCAGCTCTGACATCCGGCGCTCCAGCGACCGCTTCTCCGCCTGCAGCTGTGCCTCCTGCTCGCATCAGCAATGTGATACAGGAATGAGGTAGCATCGACAATAATTGAAAAGACTTTTGTTTTGAGTCGACTCAAAAGTTTCCTCGCATCAGCAATGTGATACAGGAATGACTGATGTAGCATCAGCATTCATTGAGGCACCTAAAAAAAGCACGAGCAATACGGCACAGAAATGATGTAGCAGGAAGGGGTTGGGGCGGTGTGGGGGAAGATTACGAAACAGGTGGGAGGAGGGAGGGGTGAGGTGCGTTGATCGTTGTAGTAACGTCTCGAAAAGTGGTTCTCAGCATGCATCTCTGCTCACGCCCACAGTCACACACAAACACCCCTGCATGGAGCTGTCCACCGCACTACAACCCATCCCATCCCACCCCACCCCACCTATGGTGCTGACATTAGCATGTTAACATGCCTGCATGCCCTCTTGAGTCAACTCATCCGCGCCTGGGAAGCAGCCAGCAGCTTGTCCTTGCTGCGAACCTGCTCCTCCAATGATGCCACCCGCTGCATCAGCTCGCCCACATTCACACTCACAATCACAGTGACAGTCACAGAGACATACAGATCACGCACACACATCAGAAAACAAGCAGGCAACTCACCCGCGCCTGGGCAGCAGCCAGCAGCTTGTCCTTGCTGCGAACCTGATCCTCCAACGATGCCACTTGCTGCGTCAGCAGCTCTCCCACGTTCACACTCCCAGTCACAGTCACACACAGACCCTTCTGTCTGGCACTGCAAGTATCCATCTTTGATTCTTTGCAAGACAAGCACTCAACTCACCCGCGCCTGAGCAGCAGCCAGCAGCTTGTCTTTGCTGCGAACCTGCTCCTCCAACGAGGCCACGCGCTGCATCAGCTCGCCCACGTTCACGGACCTGTCTCCGCCGCCCGCCGACCCACTAGGGCCGGACGCTGCCGCCCCACCTGTCGACCGAGTCAAGTCGTTTGTGAAGGGCTGGTGAGAGCGGAGCGGAGGGAAGAGAAGAGAAAGAAATGTATTGGAGATTTACTCTGAGATACAGTTGCCCAGAAGTAGGAAAGCCGCTTCACTAGGTTTGGAGTTCCAGAAAAGAAATCGGAGGTAGTGGTTTGGAGTTTTTGGAGAAGCCAACCCTTTATAAGAAGAAAGGGTTGGCTTTTTGTGGACTGAACTGGATAAGAGAGTGGAAAACAGAGAATTCGGGAAGGAGGGGAGAAGAGGGGGGTGGGGACAGGATTGGGGCAGGCGGGGAGGGGAGGAATGCCAAAGACAAGAATTAAGAATGAGTAGGCTCTCTCTACCGCTCCCTTCTATATATCCACTCTCTTCTTTCCTATGTCACCTGCAGAGAAGCCAGCTGGCGTGATGACGTGGAGTTGGAGGGGTGCACAGTCAGCGACTGCCGGTCAAACGGAGTCAACGCCAGGCTGTCACGCTCCCCATCCAGGACATGCCCCGTCAGCCCGCCCCCCACCCCTCCGTTCATCAACCCATTTGCTCCACCACCCTCCCCTCCTGCCCCCAGTCCCCCTCCTTCTCCCCCTCCGCCTCCCCCTGCGTCAACCCCCCCTCCTCCACCTGCGCCTCCGCCAGCTCCGCCTCCCCCTGCTGCCTGCGCCACACCAGCAGCCAGCGAACCGTTCACAGACAACTTCTGCAGCAGTCGCTCCAACAGAGCTGCCTCTAAGTCCTCTCCGCCTCCCCCTCCTCCTCCGCCTCCACCTCCTCCTCCCATTCCTCCGCCTCCTCCTCCCCCTGCTCCGTCCCCTACCATCCCGCCAAAATTCCCAATACCACCTTCCCCAGTAACCACCTGATCGGATCCTAGCAGCCCCCCCATCCCACCACCGTTACCACCAGTCATTCCTGGTGCTACAGCTGCTGCTACAGCAGCCATAATCCCTCCGCCTCTCCCTACCCCTACTGCCCCTTCAGCCCCACCTATACCCACTACAGCAGGAGCAGCACCACCAGTACCCACGGCTGCTGCTCCGCCTAGCCCCACTATCTGCGGACTTCCGCCTAAAACGCCGCTATAGCCGCCTAGAGGGCCGCTAGAAGTGCCCGCCCCTGATACGCCTGCAACAGTTGCACCTGCCCCAGATAAACCTGGACTGAGCCCCGCGCCTGTACTGGCGGAAGGGGGAAGGCGCGCGGAGGAAGGGGGAGAGCAGCCCGTCCACGTCAGGAGGCGCGGAACTTGCTAGCGCCTGGGGGAGTGGTGAGAGAGCAAGGCGAGGAGAGTATGGGTCGAGAAAGAAAAAACTCAAAAGGGCATCAGAATTGGGTCTATAAGGTGGCACACGAAAGGAGGGCAGGGATTGAAACGACGCAAGAACCCAACTCGAGTTGCTTCAAAAAGGGAGTGGAGGGAGAGGGTAACGGGAGGCGGGGGGAGGGGATGCAAGAGGCGAGCACGACGAAGGGAGGGAGAGGGGGAAGGGGGTTGGGGGGCGGGGCGGGGGGGACCGGGGGAGGAAGGAGGGGGTTTTTGACACGAGCGCTCACGCCGTTGCTCATCTGCCATTCGAGCACGCGCAGCTGGGAGCGGAGGAATTCGTTCTCGATGGCCTGCTTGCGGATCTCCACCTCCGCCTCATCCAACGCGCGCTGCCACGCCTCCGCCAGCTGCTGCTCCGGCTCCGCTGCTCCTGCGCCCCCTGCTCCTTCCGCTCCCCCTCCTCCTGCCCCCCCTGCTTCTCCCGCCGGCACTCCCCCTGCCTCCCCTGCCTCCCCTGCTCCCGCGGCCCCTGACCCTCCTGCTCCCGCTGTCCCTTGTGCTCCGGTCAAGGCCCCCCTGCCCCCCTTGCCCCCCAACCCCTCCTCCCCCCTGCTCTTGCGACCCCTGGCCCGCTGCTCCTTGCGCTTCTGTTCCGCTCCCCCCTGCCTCTGCGCCGCCGAGTGCTTCCCCAGTGGCTGCCGCCTCCCCCGCCACGACCGCGCCTGCAGCGCTGCTCTCTGCGGCTGGGGGATTAGGTGGTTCTGAGGTCGCCGCCCCTCCGAGTCCCGCTCCTGCTGTTGCTCCTTCTTCGGCTGCTGCTGCTGCTTCTGCAGATGTTACCTTTTCTACTGCTCCTGCTGCTGCTCCTGGCGCTGCCGCCGGAAGCGAAGGGTCCAGCGCGGAATCGCAAAGGTAAGTGTCTAACGCAGAAGGCTGTAGCGCGGAAAGCTGTAGCGAGGAAGGCTGTAGCGCGGAAAGCTCTGGTGAAGCTTCGGATATGGCACCAGGGATGATCGAGGACGGCTCGTCCAGGGAAGGAGGATGCGGAGCAGAGACCGCAGCTACAGCCGGCATTACCGAGGCTTTCTGAAGCGTAAGAAACGGGAAAGTAGAGAGCAGGCGGGGACCGATAAAAAAAAATGAACAGGCAAAACGGAAGTCAGGACAATATTTTTTTCTTATGCTTGTGAACAGTGGCAACAGCTGCCGATATTATACATTAATAGATGATCAAACAGCGATGGGAACAGGACAGACGAATTTTGATATGCTTAAAAAATAGCATCGAAAGCAGGAAAAACACGTAGATTGTGATAAATTTCCGGTTATGGCTAGTAAATAACCGAAGGCATTAGCTTTGTTCCAGGACTAACAGCCTTCTTCCAAAGCCTTTTAGATTCCTACCTCGTGTGCCCCAGGCTGGCACGCTGCTGTTTACTGCTGCTTCGCAATCGTTCCCCACTATTCCTGCGACATTCGCCAGCAGAACAAACAGTCAAGAATATGGTTGAGAGAATTCCCAGAACTCGCACGCTGCCGTTTACTGCTGCTGTTCAATCGTGCCCCGCTATCATTGCGACATTCGCCAGCGGAACAGACGGTATACTAGTGCTTAGGAAGGGTCGAAAGGAAAGAAAGAAAGAAAATTATGTGTAATGATTAAGGTAAGGCTAGTTGTCGCTAATTTGGGTCCAATGACGTCGAAGGCGACACCTGATATTCATTCAGTCACGAAGGTGGTACGACCGTGTAGCTACTAGTACAGGAAAATCAACAATCTATGAAGCTAGTTTCCGGCGGAGCAGTCACGGAAGCATCGTCCTCTAATAAGAATAAGATGCGATTTCTGTAGCGACGGGAGCACTCGGAAAGTAACCGGTTGGCCTAAGGTCAGACAGACAGACGCATTTAGGAAAATAACAAGATTTTGAATTGAAATTGAGGTGCAGTCTGCTCCAGCGCTGCGGGAAATTGGTTGGATAAACAACCTTGATCACGAACCCTAATTGATCCTGGTCAGCTATGACCTGTACGCACCCAAATGGCCGGCATAGCGACTGGATAGCACGCTACGCGACTCCAGGCCACAATGCGAATGGTGCTCCTTTCGCGAAATCGGATGGCCCTCTGGTTTTAGAAAATGATGAAACCAGACTTGGACTAGCGGGAAAGCAATGTCAGGGAGCCATGAATGGATCTCAGAAGTGTACAGTTCCTGGGCTTGTTTCTGTGGTTTCTGTAGTTTCTGTGGGATGGTCGACTGGTTGGTGGTCAGGGAGGGGTCATTCTACGGGAACTTCAAGGCCGCGAAAACAATTTGAAACTTACCAGGCTATTAGTAACCAAGATACCGGCCTCGCCGAGGAAAGGCAGCTTTCGCCCAGTCCGTTGAGGAAGCGGTTGTGGGGACAAGCGAAGGCGAAGAATCGGAGGCATTCAACCGCCTGACGAGAAGTTGACGGCCAGCGGTTGGAGGAGCTCTGTTTCGGCCAAAATACATCCGGTTTGACTAATGATTCTGTGGGCGGTTGCTTTGTAAGCGCGTACCTCTTAATAACTTCCTCGTCTTCAGAATACCTTTCCTGGGAGATTAAATGATGATTGACGAGGCATTCATTTTCGTCAACAGATATACTCGGTAAAACGAGGAGAAACCAGTGCCAGCAATACTGGCGGAGATTCTAAAAACGGCGACGTGGATTCATCAATGCACGAGCGAGCCGTCATTTCGCTTTTATCACCTGCGACGAGCTCGATAGAACGTCGGCATTCCGCACCGCGATGATTGGCGCGGCCGCAGGCATGGCTGCGCTTCTGCTCCGCCGCTCCCCAGTCCCCTCCCCAGTTACATTGAGGGAGCGCACCCCTCAATGGGCAAGCATCATCGCTCCTCCTCCTCGCCCCTTTTCCGCACGCCTGTCTGCCTGCCCCTCGACCTTGCCCCTTTCGCGACGCGAGGCGTTTTGAAGTCGAGACACCAGATCAGATACCTGGTACTACTTTTTCCGCAGGTAATCGTTTTAATGGTGTATTCTATTTTTTTGAATCCAGAAACAGATTGTTCACGTTTCCCATTCACGTCAGGAATCATGACCTCAATCTACCGTAATTCGGCGGACCCGTCGAAGCCAGGTTCTAGTAGGGAACACCTGGCACTTAAAACTCTTTTCGAGTTGGTTTGCCCCAACCCCAACCTATAGCGTTTCGGCAAATGTCGCGAGTCTCTCTTGCCTTGACCTCACCCTCACGAATTCAGCCCCTCTCATCCCATCTCATTAGTTCAACACAGTACTATCTCAATCACTATGTCCAGTCTGGACCAGCAACAGCAGATCGAAGTAAAGTCGCGCTCGCGCCTCATAGACGAACCATACTAAGTTCTTACTTTGTCTTGGCCGCGCGTCTCAATCAAATTTGCTAATAAATTGCGAGACGTGTGTGGCAGGAGTTTTTTTTTTTGTTTAGACCACTACGAAGTCACCACAGGTGTGACGCCTCGTGAGCAGCAGGAATATGGAAACGGCTAATCTAATTCCTCCGGCAAGGTCCGCGGACGGTTCTAGACGTCCAACCCTTCTGCGTGCAGTGCCGAACGAAGGAGCCGCCGCGCTCGACAGCCAGACGGGGAGTGGCCCCGCGAGAAACGGCGCAATGTGCGGGGCATCCGCTTATGCGTCTACTGCCCTTAGAGCCCGAGAAGATTTAGAATGCAACGAAAAATATGATGATGATGGTGATGGCGATGGCGATGGCGACAGTGATGGTGGTGGCAGTGGCGACGCCAGGGTCAGCGACTGTCAATATCCTTCAAACAATTTTCTCGGCGAGTACTACAGTGACTCGTGGAAGCTCGCTGACGTGGCGTTATTCTGTAAAAAACGTCATTCTGATTGGAGGGGGGGTTTACTCCGCGGGTTGTTCTGGGCCGTCCCGCTGCTGCTCCTCGTGCTCGTGCCGCAGTTTGCAGCGCTGACGAGCGGTCCGAGAGACCTCACGCGGCTCGTTGACTTTCCTCGAGGCGTAAGAGTGGGAGGTGAGGGGAATGTGATGGTGGAGATTGAGACGGAGAGCGGAACGGTAACGGAGACGGCAGCTGAATCGGTAACTGAGACGGTAACGGAAGCGGATGGGGACGAGGTGGGTGTGGCGGAAGAGGGGGGTGCGTATGTTCCCGTGGGGAAGGATGCGGGGGTTGCGGAAATTGGGGATGGGGAGGTTGCGGAGAACGAGGACGCGGGGATTGCGGAGAACGCGGAGGCGGGGGTTGCGGAGAACGAGGATGAGGATGTGGACAAGAATGGTGGAAGGCAGAGCGAAGAGCGCGGGAATCCGGAAAAGAAGTTGGGGGGAGACGAAGTGGAATTACAGAGGGAACCTCCCGCTGTTGAATCGGGGAAGACCTCGTCTCGCGAAGTTAGCGAGCCGAATCAGGCTATTGGTAACCACGACGCGGAGCGTGCGAACGACGCGAGCTTGCGAAACGAAAACGCAGCGAACCGCGCGACCTCAGAGGTCGAAACGCAGATAGACAGCGACACCGACGAGTTGAAGGCGGAAATAAAGCAGCGAACTCTGGGTGACGTGGAGCGTATTGATTCGCCGAGGGTTCTGAAGTACCTTCATGCGAACCCGAGATTAACCTGGGAGACGGAGTGGTTACCAGTTCGGCGAGAAGATTACTTTCGCCCTGGTGAAAAATATTACTTTGTAACCGGGCAGCGCGATTTTTGTGCGGGGATTCGCCACTTCCATCGCAGCCTGTCGTGCAAAATCGCAGAAGCGGCTTTTCTGAATCGCACGCTCGTACTCGATATGGGGTTGTGCATAAACGGAATGCACAATGGCGGGACTGCGAGTGTTCACGGTCTGCATTACTACTACGATCTGCCCTCCCTCAGGTAAGACCGTCCCTCAAGTAACACCTCTCCAGCGTCCCCAACCCCCTCTCTACTCGTTCCGCAACCCCCCCACCCCCCTCTAGTCCCTCCAGGCTCAACCCCCTGCACTGCTCCCTGCAAGCCTGCACGGGTTACTCATTAACTCACTTTTCTATTCCCCTCTCTTTCTCGCAGGGCCGCCAGGTTTACCCCCTTGAATGGGTTCCTGCAAGGCATGAGGGAGTGGCGGCGCAAGCAGGGGCAGAGGGGAGAGGAGGCAACTGGAAGGCGGTTGAGGGGTGTATCTGCAGGGGAGGGTGTATCTCAAGGGGATGGTGTATCTGCGGGGGAGGGTGTATCTGCGGGGGAGGATGTATCTGCGGGGGAGGGTGTATCTGCGGGGGAGAGTGTATCTGCGGGGGAGGGTGTATCTGCGGGGGAGGGTGTATCTGCGGGGGAGGGTGTATCTGCGGGGGAGGGTGTATCTGCGGGGGAGGGTGTATCTGCGGGGGAGGGTGTATCTGCGGGGGAGAGTGTGCCAGCTGCAGCTCTTTTTGCCCGTGTGGTTCAAGCAGACACAAGGACTAAGGTAATTTCCCAACCAATTACTTTTAAGAATACTCCATGGCAGGGAGGCAGGCAGGGGTATCTGTCTGTCATAATCTGCGATGTTTTTATTCAAGCTCCCACTCATGCGCCATTGCTCTAACTCCCCCACTTTCCCCTCCCTTCTAATCCCCCTCTATCCCCTCTCCCTCCACCTCTTCGCCCTAGGAGCAGGCCATAGCACAGGACAGCAGCACCCCGCTCATCATTCCATATAGCGCAAGCACCCTCAATAGCCACCTCTCCCCAACTCTCCCCGCCCCCAATCCCCTCCCTCCCTAAATCTGCAGGCCATAGCCCAGGACAGCAGCACCACGCTCATCATAAGAGACGGGCATTACGGCTTTGAACCATGCCGGGGCGAGCTCTCGCACTGGCCCAACCTGGTGAGCGCTTTGAAACGTGTTTTGCAACGTGTTTTGAGTTGACTCACAAGGCGGCAGCTTGCTTCAATGTCGCACGCCACTTCAGCTTTGAACCGTGCTGGGACGAGCTCTCTCACTGGCCCATCAAGGTGAGCCCCCTCTGCCTTCTCCTTGAGTGTGCAAGGAGGAGAGGAGCATGAACACGCTGCTCTCAATCCTGCCCTTGTTCTGGATTGAGTGGCAATCATCTTTCAATCCTGCCCTTGTTCTGGATTGAGTGGCAATCATCTTTCGATCCTGCCCTTGTTCTTGCCCCACCCACTGGTCCGGTCCATCCATAACAGCGGTTCGACTACATAGCATCGAACGAGTTTGCCATTCTCTTCCGTCGAACGAGTCTTGCATTGAACTGAGGGGGTTGGCAGGCAGCATGTCTCAACCCAACCATTTCTCTCTCTTATGTGTTCCTTGCAAAAGTTCAAGAATTCATCTTATTGCTTGCCCCAACCCCAACCTCATCCCACCCATCCCACCCACCCACCCGTATAACCCTGACAGAGGTTCGACTACATCATCTCAAACAAATCCAGCATTCTCTTCCGCCCAACACGACTGTTGAAGCGCCTCAATACTACCATCTTGCCCACCCACCCACCCACCCGTCCATCCCTGACAGAGGTTCGACTACATCATCTCAAACGAGTCCGCCATTCTCTTTCGTTCGGAGCTCAGGGGCCTGGGAGCCAACATGTCGCAATCCATGAATGCGGGGGACTATGACGCCGTGAGAGTGAGGAGGGGAGACAAGCTCAACACCGATGTGTGGCCGCACGTGGCAAACGACACGAGCCCCCCCGCGTAAGTCAATAAAGCTGTGAATATTAGAAGTCAGTGCTCTTGGTGAGCAAATTCAATATATTCTTGGGCTGCAAAATCAAAGTTTTCTTCTAAATAACGTTCTGTTACCTGACTTTTTCTTCCGCGTCCTTGCGATGTTACAGTCTACTGGAGAAGCTCCCCCGGTTCGTTGCACCTGGACGCACGCTGTACATCGCGACGAATGAGAAAACGCCCGGGTTCTTCGACCCGCTGAAGGCAATCTTTGTGGTTCGGCAATTTCGGGACTTTGACCACCTCTGGGCGCCTGGCACGCCTTGGTTCGATGGATACGCGCGCATCCTGGGTGCGAGTCCCAAGCTCGACCCATACATGGAGGTACAGTGCACCCTAGGCCCTTGCCATTGTAACGAGGTGACTTTTGAGTCGACTCCAAAGTCACCTCGACCCCTACATGGAGGTACAGTACACCCTAGGCCATTTTTTTACTTCACACATGATGACACACAATGTTCGTTACTAGTGTGTGTCTGTGCACACGTGTGCATGTGTGTGCATGTCTGTGTGCATGTGTGTGTGTGTGTGTGTGTGTGTGTGTTTGCGTGTGTGTGTGAGTGTGCATGCGTGTGTGTGTCTGTGTGTGAATGTGTGTGTGCATGTGCGCACGTGTGTGTGTGGGTGTGTGTGCTTGGGTGTGCTTGTGTGTGTGTGGGTGTGTGTGTGCTTGGGTGTGCTTGTGTGTGCGTGTGTGTGTGTGTGTGTGTGTGTGTGTGTGTGTGTGTGTGTGTGCGTGCATTTGTTTGTGTCTGTGGTTGTGTGGGTGGGTGGGTGGGTGGGGGTGCGAGTGCGTGTCCTCGTGCGTCTAACCTGCATGCTTAATTGCCTCACCCTGTGCTACTCAACGGGCCCGACCCGTTGAAACTTAAAAGTATCAAATACAAGATTTTGTTTCCCGTGCTTATGTGTGTGTGTCCTGGTATGCGTGACCCGCAATCTTATACTTTCCTGTCTGGCATTGTGCCCACAGGCCATTGTGGAGTACAAGGGTCTGTTTGCCACTGCGCGTGTATGCTGTGCGCGTGTGTATCCATGTGTCCTCCCATGTCTTTGTGTGTCTCACCGCCTCCTTTTCTTCTTTTATCCCTTGTGTGGTGCTACAGGCCATTTTGGAGTACAAGGTTCTGTTTGCCGCGAAAGCAAAAGTTTTCACGTTCAACAACCTGACGAGCGATGCCGAGGGTGGAATAAGGCCTTCAGCCATGAAAAGGCACTGACTAAGACCGTGCAACAGAGGCATGCCATAATGCCATGAAAAAAGGTATTGACTGAGGTCGTTGAAAGGCATTCAGTGACCTTAAGAACAACAGCTGTATTGTCCTAGAGCATTACTACTGCCTCTTGTATAGAGTTCCATGCTTCTCATATAATAATGCATGCTCTATCTTGCATGCCATGGGCCATACTGGGCCTGGTGGATTTCCTTGCTGGCAATTTGGTGCCATACTGAGTGACCATGTGTGGAACGATGCATAGGACGCTGCTGTTTTGAGCCAGGCCATATTTATTACATTCAGAACAGGTTGCCTCCGATAGTATAAAACAATTTTAGCAGGTCTGCACTGTACCTTACATGCTTCTACTCCAATTGTTAATCTCACTACAGAATGCCAATTCACCAGCACAATCAGCTGCAACCCTTGTGTGGATTCTTGTTCCATCCATCCACGAGCGAGCCGCTGGTTCGCTTTTGTCATCCGCAAACTCGATAGAGCGTCAGCTTACAGGGGCGCCATGATTGATTGTCTATATTCCGCGAACACAGGAGTTGCGCGGCCGCAGTCAAGGGAATGCTGTTCCGCCGCTCCGCAGTCAGGGGAGGGCATCCTTCATTGAGCACAGCACAGTAACCTCGCCTCGCTCACTCTTCCTCTCCCCAACCCCATCATTTTCCGTACATACGACGCCTGCCGGCCCGTTCTCTGGCACCGTTCGCGACTCGACTTCTGCAAAATGGCTTGGATCGAAAATCTGTTCCGTAGTCTGCATGCGGATGACGAACACCGCAATGGTGTGCCCCAGGGCTGTCAATTCAAGGGCATTTGCCTGGTGTGCCCTGCCCCCAACCGCACTTGACCCAAGCGTCTTCCGACCCGAACCTAGCCATTCTGTTCCGAATACAGCAGCCCCTCAGTACATCAAAATCTTGATTCCGGTTCAGTCAGCAGCAGCTCGAAGTTAGTCGCACCTCATCGACGAACCAGAATCAAGCATATAAGCTCCTTCTTCTATGTCTGTCCGGGGCGCGCGTCTCAATCAAGCCATCCCTCTCGCTCGACATTGACAATCTTTATGTAATCAATCGCGAGACGTAAGTAGAAGGATTTTAGTCCACTGGAGAAAGTCACCACGGCGTGTAAGTAGCAGGAGCAGGAGCATGGAAAGGGCTATTCTAATGCCTCCGGCAAGGTCCGAGGACGAGATTGAGCGTCCAGTCCTTCCGCAGAGGTCGCCTCATGCGCACGAGGTTTTGAGAATTCTCAAAAGTGATTTCAATATACCTCCGGCAAGGTCCGAGGACGAGATTGAGCGTCCAGTCCTTCCGCATCATGCAGTGCCGAACGAAGGAGGCGCCGCCGCGCCCGACAGCCAGACGGGGAGTGCCCCCGCGAGAAACGGCGCAATATTCGGCGATGATCTCGGCGCGATGTGCGGGGCCTGCCCGCATTCATCTACCGCCCTACGAGCCCGAAATGAGCTAGACGGCAATGGCGACGCCGCCGAAGGCGATAGTGATGGCGGTGGCGGTGGCGGCGGCAGTGACGGCGGCAGTGGCGGTGGCGGTGGCAGTGGCAGTGGCGGTGTTGGCGACGGTAAATGTCCTTCAAATTCTTTTCTCGGGTACTTTAGTGACACGTGGAAGCTCGCTGACGTGGCAATAAGCTTGAAAAAAGGTAATTCTGATTGGAGGGGGCGTTTACTACTCCACGGGCTGTTCTGGGCCGTCCCGCTGCTGCTCATCGTGCTGGTGCCGCAATTCGCGGCGCTAACGAGCGGTCCGAGAGACCTCACGCGGCTCGTTGACTTCCCGCGAGGTGTAAGAGCGGGAGGCGAGGGGGATGTGATGCCGGATATTGAGACGGAGAGCGGGGCGGTAACGGAACCTGCTGCGGCAGCGGCGCGGGATGTGGCGGAAGCGGAGAATAAGAATGCTGAAGGGGCCTTGGGGAAGCAAGAGGGGCTTGCGGCAAGCGGTATCGCAGCGGAAGGGGGCGCGGGGGATATGGCGGAAGAGGGGGACGCGGATGTTCAAGCGGGGGAGGATGCGGGAGTAGCGGAGAGCGAGGACGCGGGGATTGCGGAGAATGCGGAGGCGGGGAACGCGGAGAATGCCGAGGCGGGGAATGCGGAGGCGGAGAATGCGGAGAACGAGGGTAAGAGTGAGGAGGTGGACGAGAATGGCGGGGGACAGAGCGAAGGGCGAGGGAATCCGGAAAATGGGTCGGAGAGAGACGAATCTGACAAAGGGTCGGAGGGAGACAAATCGGGACCTGAAAGGGAATCTTCCGCTGTTGTTGAACCGGGGGAGACGTCTTCTCGCGAAATTAACGAATCCAACCAAGCGACTGGTAACCACGAGCGTGCGAACGACGCGAGCCCGCCAAACGAACGCGCGGCGAACCGCTCGAGTTCAGATTCTGAAACGCAGGGAGCAGGCGACGCGGACGAGTTACTTGCGGAGCTGGAGCAGCGAACTCTGGGTGACGTGGAGCCTCTTGATTCGCCGAGGGTTCTGGAGTACCTTCGTATTAATCCGCGATTAACGTGGGAGACGGAGTGGTTACCAGTTCGGCGAGAAGATTACTTTCGCCCGGGCGAAAAATACTACTTTGTTACTGGGCAACGCGATTTCTGTGCGGGGATTCGCCACTTCCATCGCAGCATGTCGTGCAAGATCGCAGAAGCGGCTTTTCTGAATCGCACGCTTGTACTCGATATGGGGTTGTGCGTTAACGGATTGCACAGCGGCGGGTCTGCGAGTGTTCACGGCCTGCATTACTACTACGATCTGCCCTCCCTCAGGTAAGACCGTCCCTCAACACCCTTCCTCAGGTAACACCCTCCCCCCACGCCACCATCCCCCCCCCCCGAATCTCCCGTCTCGTTCTCTCTTTCCCCCCCGCAGGACCGCCAGGTTACCCCCCCTCTCCTCAGGGCCAGGCGGAGAGGCCATTGCTCGCGAGTGACTCGGTTTCACCCAGCCCCATCCCCACATCCCGCCATCCCCCCCCCCCCCCCCGCCATCACGGGCTGGCGGAATGGCCACAGCTGGGGGATGACTCGACCGTTTCGAGTTGACTTTTGAGTCAACTCGAAACGTTTCGAGATGACTCAAAAGTCGGCCGCAGCTGGGGGATGACTCGACCGTTTCGTCCAACCCCCCACCCCCACCATCTCACCACCCCCGCGCCTCTCCCTCCGCCCTTCACTTTTCGCCCCAGGGCCGCCAGATTCACCCCCTTGCACAGGTTCTTGCACGGCCTGGCAGTGGCTTGGGAGTGACTCACTGTCTCTCTTTTTTTTTTCCCTTTCTCTATTTTCGCTTTCTCTCCTTCCTCCCCCCTCCCCCCCCCCCCCCCCCCCCCCCCCCCCCCCCCCCCCCTTTTCTTTATTTTCCTTCCTCTCTTTTTCCCTTTCGCTCCTTTTTTCCCCTCTCACTCTTGCAGGGCCGCCAGATTCACCCCCCTGAACGGTTTCCTGCAGGGTCTGAAGGAGTGGCAGCGGCAGCAAGAGCAGGGGGGAGGGGAGGGGAGCAACAGGGGGGAAAAGGCGGATGGAAAGGGGGAGGCCACTGGAGGGCGGTTGAGAGGTGTATCTGGAGAGGAGGGTGTATCTGGAGAGGAGGGTGTATCTGCAGGGGAGGGTGTTTCAGCTACAGCCCTGTTTGCCCGTGTGGTGCAAGCAGACACACGGACCTGGGTGAGTGAGTAACTTCTCTTGAGAATACTCAAGGACAGGTAAATTAGTCTTAATCTGCAACCTCCTCCTAGTTGGCTGGGAATAAGGCCTCCGCAGCCCACCTGTTTACTCTTGACAACCTCCTAATTGACAGGGAATGTAGGGCAGACACAAGGACAGGGTGAGGTGAGGTGAGGTACTATCGACTCCTGATAACACCTCACCTCACCCTGTCCTTGTGTCAACCCAAAGACTGGAGCGAGTCACCTCACCGGGTGAGTGACTAACGACTCCTGAGAACACTCAACCCAAAGACTGGAGTGAGTCAGTTCAGTCATACTGTGCGATGCTGTTCAGTCATTCCCAGTCAGCCTCTTAGTTGACTGGGATTGCAGACACAATGACAGGTTGAGTGACTGGAGGATGCAGATTAGTCGTTAGTCAACCCAGAGACTGGGACCAAGTGAGGTACTAACGACTCCTGAGAACACTCAACCCAAAGACTGGAGTGAGTCAGATCAGTCATACGGTTCTCTGCGATGTTTTAGTCGATTAAAGACGACACAAGAACACGGGTGAGAGACCGTGTGTGGGAAGACTCAAAGAAGACTCAGTCACACATGGCATGCTACAGCCTAGGTCGCTGCACCACAAAGCATGCAACAGCCTAGGTCGCTGTACCACAAAGCATGCTACAGCCTAGGTCGCTGTACCACAAAGCATGCTACAGCCTAGGTCGCTGTACCACAAAGCATGCAACAGCCTAGGTCGCTGTACCACAAAGCATGCTACAGCCTAGGTCGCTGTACCACAAAGCATGCAACAGCCTAGGTCGCTGCACCACAAAGCATGCTACAGCCTAGGTCGCTGCACCACAAAGCATGCAACAGCCTAGGTCGCTGTACCACAAAGCATGCTACAGCCTAGGTCGCTGTACCACAAAGCATGCTACAGCCTAGGTCGCTGCACCACAAAGCATGCTACAGCCTAGGTCGCTGCACCACAAAGCATGCAACAGCCTAGGTCGCTGTACCACAAAGCATGCTACAGCCTAGGTCGCTGCACCACAAAGCATGCTACAGCCTAGGTCGCTGCACCACAAAGCATGCAACAGCCTAGGTCGCTGTACCACAAAGCATGCAACAGCCTAGGTCGCTGTACCACAAAGCATGCAACAGCCTAGGTCGCTGCACCACAAAGCATGCAACAGCCTAGGTCGCTGTACCACAAAGCATGCAACAGCCTAGGTCGCTGTACCACAAAGCATGCTACAGCCTAGGTCGCTGCACCACAAAGCATGCAACAGCCTAGGTCGCTGTACCACAAAGCATGCAACAGCCTAGGTCGCTGCACCACAAAGCATGCAACAGCCTAGGTCGCTGTACCACAAAGCATGCTACAGCCTAGGTCGCTGTACCACAAAGCATGCAACAGCCTAGGTCGAGGTTTGCTGCTCGCTGAGAACATGTCCGAAGACCAGATCACGGCACCCCCATGTGCAAGCCATAGCCCAGCGCAACACAGGCACGCTCATCATTCAGTGCTGTATGCTTTTGAGACGTCTCAAAAACACCCTCACTTCACGCAACACAGGCACGCTCATCGTTCGGTGCTGTATGCCGCGCACCCACATGCATTAAACACCACCCCTTGGCCCCTCCCCCATCCCCCCTCCCTCATCCCCCAGTCGGTGTAGCGCAAGCACCCACATGCGTTAAACGCCACCCCTTGCCCTTTTCCCCCATCCCCCCTCCCCCATCCCCCCTCATTCATCCCCCAGTCGGTGTAGCACAAGCACCCACATGAGCCAACCTCCATCACCCACCCTCTCCCCCTCCCCACTCCCCCTCCCCGCAACCCCCCACGAGCAGGCCATAGCGCAGGCCAGCACCACCGCGCTCACCATTCCGTGTTGTGCAAGCACCCCCATCATTCCGTGTTGTGCAAGCACCCCCATCATTCCGTGTTGTGCAAGCACCCCCATCATTCCGTGTTGTGCAAGCACCCCCATCATTCCGTGTTGTGCAAGCACCCCCATCATTCCGTGTTGTGCAAGCACCCCCATCATTCCGTGTTGTGCAAGCACCCCCATCATTCCGTGTTGTGCAAGCACCCCCATCATTCCGTGTTGTGCAAGCACCCTCATCATTCCGTGTTGTGCAAGCACCTTCATCATTCTGTGTTGTGCAAGCACCCCCATCAGCCATACCCCCCCCCACTTCTCCCCCCCCTCCCCCCCCCCACGAGCAGGCCATAGCCCAGGACAGCACCACTGCGCTCATCATTCAAGACGGTCACTACAGCTTTGTGCAATGAACCCACATCAGCCACTCCTCCCACAACCCCCCTCCTCCTCTCCCTTCCCTTCCTCTGCAGGCCATAGCGCAGGACAGAACCACCACGCTCATCATTCGAGACGGTCACTACAGCTTTGTGCAATCACCCTCATCAGCCTCTCCTCCCACCCCCTCTTTTCATTCACTATCTGCAGGCCATAGCGCAGGACAGCACCACCGCGCTCATCATTCGAGACGGTCACTACGGCTTTGACCCGTGCCGAGGGGAGCGCTGCAACTGGCAAAATATGGTGAGCGCTTCTCCTCCTCTCTTCCCCTCTCCTCTCCTCTCCTCTCCTCTCCTCCTCTCCTATCCTCTCCTCTCCTCTCTTCCCTCTCCTCCCTCTCCTCTCCTCTCCTCTCCTCTCCTCTCCTCTTCTCTCCTCTCCTCCCTGTCCTCCCCTCTCCTCTCCTCTCCTCTCCTCTCCTCTCTTCCCCTCCCCCCCCCTCTCCTCTCCTCCCTCTCCTCCCTCTCCTCTCCTCTCCTCTACTCTCCTTTTCTCCCTCTCCTCCCCAACCTCTCCTCTCCTTTCCTCTCCTTCCTCCTCTCCCTCTCCTCCCCTCTCCTCCCCTCTTCTCTCCTCTCCTCTCCTCCCTCCACTCCCTCCTCTCTCTCCTCCCTCTCCTCGTTCTCTTCGCTCTTCTCCCTCTCCTCCCTCTCCTCCCTCTCCTCCCCTCTCCTCCCTCTCCTCCCTCTCCTCCCGCTCCTCCCTCTCCTCCTTTCCCTCGTGGCACTCTTTTGAGTCAACTCAAAAAGGTGAGTGTTGCAACCGGCCCAACTCGATGAGTGCCCTCCTCTCCTCCCTACCCTCCTACCTCCTCCCTCTCCTCCCTCTCCCCCACCTCCTCCCTCTCCACCCATGCGTGACAGTGTTTTGACTTGACTACATCACGGCGAACGAGTCCGCCATTCTCTTCCGCCCAGCAGGACGTTTGAAGCGCCTCAATACCATCTTGGCCACCCTCCCATCCGCCCTGCCATGCGTGACAGTGATTTGACTTGACTACATCACGGCGAACGCGTCCGCCATTCTCTTGCGGCCGGAGCTCAGGGGACTAGCAGCCGGCAGCATATCACAATCCATGTATTCTCCTGCCCCATCCAAAATCCACCCACCCTCTTCCATCCATAACAGCGAGTCGACTACATCACGGCGAACGAGTCGGCCATTCTCTTTCGTCCGGAGCTGAGGGGCCTGGCAGCCAACATGTCTCAATCCATGAATGCGGGGGACTATGATGCCGTGAGAGTGCGGAGGGGAGACAAGCTCAACACTGACATGTGGCCGCATGTGGCAAACGATACGAGCCCTCCTGCGTAAGTTAACTGCTGCACAGTCTTCAATCTGAGTCGACTCAAAAGGGACTGTGACGCTGTGAGGGTGAGGAGGGGAGAGAAGCTCAACACCGACGTGTAACCGCACGCGGCAAACGACACGAGCCTTCCCGCGTAAGTCAGCCACTCTTGACTCCAATTCAGCCGTGTTACGACGATAATAAGTTAATGATGAATGCTGCTAATGGTGAGCATTTTTTTAGCTTCTTGGAATGCATAGCCTGAATTTTCCTCTGAACGGATTTCTGTTACCTGTCTTTTCCCTGGACTTAGCTCTGTTACAGTCTACTGGAGAGTCTCCCCCAGTTAAGTTAATGCTGCTGGTGAGAGCACATTCAATGAATGTTTACCAATGCTTTTCTGTTACCCGTCTGTTTGCCTCTTCCATGCACTTTAACAGCCTTTTGGAGAAGCTCCCCCGGTTCGTTGCACCGGGACGCACGCTGTACATCGCGACGAATGAGAAAACGCCCGGGTTCTTCGACCCGTTGAAGGCGGTCTTTGAGATTCGGCAATTTCGGGACTTCGACCGCCTCTGGGCGCCTGGGACTCCCTGGTTTGATGGATACGCGCGAATCCTGGGTCCGGATCCCAAGCTCGACCCCTATATGGAGGTGTGTGTGTGTGTGTGTGTGTGTGTGTGTGTGTGTGAGAGAGAGAGAGAGAGAGAGTGTGTGTGTGTGTGTGTGTGAGTGTGTGTGTGTGTGTGTGTCCTTGTGCATTTATCCTTCATCCTTTCCTTGTTTTACCTGGTGCTCACAGGCCATAGTGGAGTACAAGGTTCTGTTTGCCATGCTTATGTATGTGTGTCCTGGTGTGCCTGACCCTGCAATCTTATACTTATCTGTTCTACCTTGTGTATAGGCCATTGTGGAGTACAAGGTTCTGTTTGCCGCGAAAACAAAAGTTTTCACGTTCAACAACCTGACGAACGATGCAGAGGATGGAATAAGGCCTTCGGCCCTGAAAAGGCATTGACCGAGCTCACAGACAACAGCATGTTGTTCCAGAGCATTTCCGAGCTGAGTTGATATGCCTACAGTTCGCTAGTGTACCAGTGTGTTATTACGGTAGCTGCAATTGCTGATGGTGTACCCTTCTCTCTTGCCTTGCCTATTTGTACCCTTTTGTTTATAGTGAAATTCCTCCTTTCTCCAATCTTCTCTCCATCCTCGTAACTACTCTCAATCTCCCAAGTCCTAGTCTCATAGGCCAATATTAACACTACTGCCTCTTGTATAGGGTTCTGTGTCTCCCAGTGTAATACGTAATGCACAGTCAATTGTGCATGCTAAGGCCCATACAAGCCCATTGTAATGCAGTAGGGTATTTCTGTACGAGCCAATTATAAATTGAGAAAGCTTGCTTTCTTGTCCTTATAATTTGGCATCGTTCTCATTGCAACTGGGCATCGTTCTCATTGCAACTGGCTTATTACAACATATGCATCGTTCGTAAACACATGCTAGTACATGCAAATATTACTAGCTATGGAGTCGTCCGTCCAAGCAGCTGTGGTCTTGTAGTTGGTCCGGGGTGGGTGGTGGGGATGTTGATTGAGCCGTTGGAAAACGAGAAACGTGGGTGGAGGGAATGAACTCCAACCCACGGTTTTTGTAGTTGGAGAAGGGCGTTTAGCGCGCTTCGACGCTGCCAAATATTCGGTACAGTCAGCTTCGCTTTCACAATACACAATTTTGAAAAACATCAATGTGTTTAAAAATTATAATATTGAGAAAGCTTGCTTTCTTGTCCTTATAATTTGGCATCGTTCTCATTGCAACTGGGGCCTCTGAGACATGGCCAGTGGTGGCTTGCGGTTGCGTAAGAGTGCCTCTGCGTGCTGTTCTGGGGGCAGCGCGTATGTCGGGTCCTGTAGGTCGCGGGATGCCTTGATAAGATGTCCGACGTATGGTGTGACGTACATCTCTTTGGCGGTGTCACTTCGCCACCTGCCCATCCTTTTGAAGATTCTGTCCGGCACGCCGATGTTGGCGGCTACGGTTGCCGCGCCCTTTCGGAAGGAGTGCGTGCCGAGCTGCTGCTCCCCAAGTCCTACTTTGGCGAATGCTTCTTTACACCAGTTTCGGATCGTTGTGTACGAGGGTGGCTTGGCCTGGCCCTTGTTGGCTGAAGCGTGGCTGAAAACGCGAATCAACGACCCCTCGGAATGAGGGCCATAGCCAGCGAGTTGGAGGAAGCGTTGGGTGCAGCGCACGGGGCAACAAGGGTCCGTCGTTGCGGCGATGGGAATCCAGGTTCCACGACCAGCCTGGTCCGTTTTTGAGTGTGGGATGAGGATCCACATGACTGCATCGTCGAATTGGATGTCTTGCCACTGGATGGCAACGAGGTCGGAGTATCGCAAAAATCCGGAGTACATGAGGATAGGGATCAACCCCTTCTGAAACTCAGCGGGATTGTCCGACTGCAAGTAGTTCGCGGACATGTCCCGAACTTGTTGGATTGATACGGGCTCCTTCAAACGACTAGGGCGAGGGCAGTGTCGTTTCGCGTAGTCCCGCACTTGGGTGGTAAACGGTCCGACAGTCGGGCATTTGCTTCCAGTCATGCGATGGGCGAAGCTGACTGCCGAGCACGTGAGCTGCACTACAGACAAGGTTGCTTTGCGTTGGATTGCATGCACCAAGTATAGCGCGAGGGTCATGTCGGATGCGGGAAGAAATGGAAGATCCACCTTTGTGCAGAAGGCCCGAAACTTGGCCCAGTACGGTTCGTATGTACGGATTGTCGAATTCGCTCGCGATTGTGTGAGCATGTTGATGAGTTGGTTGTGTAGCTTTGGGAGCGGATCTGGACACAAGGCGCGTACATTCTCAATTAGTCAAAAACCACCCGAAGTGCGATGATTGGGCTGTGTGGTAATCCAGTGCCTGAAAAAGCAGCGGAATGTGTTCCAGCTGCCAGGCATTGGCTGCCGTGTGTCAAGGGAATGTGCGCGTGGATGTACGGTGCCCAGTTGCGTGGGGAAGGTTGTAAAAGTGGCCACCAGTTTGCACCCGGCCAGTGTGGGATGATCAATGTGAGCGATGCACGGGTGCGCTGTGCGTGATGGAGGACGGCCGGAACTAAATGGGGCGGGGGGAACGCAAAGCTATTTTCTGATGTCCATGCGAGCGAGAATGCATCGACTGCGGTGGCTTGTGGATGAGGAATTTTAGTGCAGAAGCGTGGCAGCTGGGAGTTGCGGGAGTTTGCAAAGAGGTCGATGGAATGGGGACCCCAACGCCGTTCTAAGATGCGGAACCACGGCGTCTTCAACGAGTAGTCGTCATGATCGACTGCTTTTGAGAGCTCATCGGCGTGTGAGTTTAGCTCCCGTGGGATCCATTCGATGATTAGACGCGTGCCGTGCTCCATGCATAGTCGAATGATGTCTTGGCAGGCCGTGGTAAGGTCGGGGCTGCGCGAGCCACCTTTGCGAAGGATGAAGAAGACGCCCTGATTGTCCACCCGCACAAGAACATGTTTGTGCGTGATCTTGCTGGAGTATGTTTGGAGTGCCCAAAGCACACCTTCGATCTCCCTCCGTGTGCTGGACGTCGCTCGCAGCGGCTCTGGCATTGTTGCGCTAGCTTCTTCGAGGCCGCCAGGAAATGTGGTCAAAGTGGCGCCCCAACTGTGAGCGCTAGCATCCACATGGATGACAGCGTCGTAGCTGTTTCGAACGTGAAACGGTGCACCGTTGAACCTGTCAAACTCTTCGAGCCAGAAGTTTAGCTCCTCAGCCGCGTTTGGGGGGATGATCACGCTGCTTTTCCATGAAGGTGCGTCATTGATCACTTGTAGCATGGCGTGGCTGAAAGCACGAGCTGTTGCGCCCAGCGCGACGCCCATTGACGCGAGCATGCCTGTGATTCTGGCCACTTGGCGGACTGAGACGGGTCGACATGCCTTGCTTGCGCTCAACAGGTTCCGAATGGTTGCATGTAGTGAGGCTCGTCGTTCGGGACCGATGGTAAATCGGCCTGTGGCCGTGTCTAGCTCCACACCCAAGAATCGAAGGTGTTGCGATGGTGACAGCTGTGATTTCTTCGCATTTATCACCAAACCTGCTGCTTTAAGGTCCAGTATTACACGGTGGCAAGTAGCCTGCGCGTGAGCTTTTGACTGGCAAAGGAATAAGATGTCGTCCACGTATGGTACTACTCGGATGCCTTGCTCCCGCCAGCGACGGGCTAGCTGCTTGATGAGTTGCGTGAAGATGAATGGGGCTGTCGCAAGACCGAACGGCAATGAACGAAAGGAGTAAGTGCGCCCATCGAATCCAAAACCGAGAAACTTCCAGCATGAAGGATGGATATCGATGTGATGGTACCCGGATTTGAGATCAATAGAAAACATCCAATCCCCAGCGCGTGCCACGTCTGCCACACGGCTGAGTCCTTCGTACTTGAATTTTGGGACGATGAGGTTCGTGTTGACTTTTCTCAGGTCGAGGATGAGCCTGCATTTTTCTTTCTGCTCGACCACGTTAAGTGGGCTTATGCACGTAAGCTCGCTTGCGGCTGTCTCGACTGCAGCTCCGGTCTCTGTGAGTTCTTGGATGGCAGTACGTGTGAACGACGCATGCGCGTATGCACCAGCGTGGTTACGCTCCCGAAAGGCCTGTGGTGGGCCGTGGCTCCATGGAAGCCAGTAACCGTTGGCGATGATGGATAGGACGAGGCTGCAAGGGCACCATGAGCTCCACCACGCAAAGGTCGAGCGAAGCCGACCGCACATCCGTGTGACGGTTTTGTCCGTGACGGCGAATTCGTACGGGCCATCGTCGCGAGGCACCTCGTATTGTTGTGCTCCTGTATGTACGGCAAGGAAATGAACGCGAACAATCAGATTGCACGCCTTAATTAGTTCATGCGTGTGACATATACATGCATGCGCGAAAAATGAACCGTCAACAGTGAGGACCATACGGACGGTTTGTCGTCATTCCATATAGGGCGTCCGATCGCACCTTGGCAAACTCTTTCTCATACTCTCTCCTTTTCCCTCCCCTCGTTTTTTTTTTTTTTTTTTTCTGGAGGATTGATGCTTGGGACCATGATCATGCTTCCCTCGTGTGCTCTCTCTCTCTCTCTCTCTCTCTCTCTCTCTCTCTCTCTCTCTCTCTCTCTCTCTCTCTCTCTCTCTCTCTCTCTCTCTCTCTCTCTCTCTCTCTCTCGCTCTTTCTCTCTCCCTCTCTTTTTGGATGTGTTTCCATTGTTGTTTGAGCATTTGCATGCTTCGCTTGTCATGAGCTCGTGTCTTTTCGCGCGTGCCTTTACTTGGGCTAGGCGACATCGCTATGCCCTACTCCCCCCCCCTTGCTCCTTCTCACCCTTTTTGGGCTTCCAACGGTTGAACCAGGGCTGCTCATCCTTGCCATGCATGGTGGCGGTTTGAGTGAGGAGCGTACGTACTCTCTTTTTCTCCCTCTCCCCTTCTCCTCCTTTTTTTTTTTTTTTAATCCGTGACAAACAAGAGGGGCCTTTAATAAAATCCCTATCTCTCATGGTCATACATTGTCATGCCTACTAGCATGTTTCTCATCCCATCAATTGGGGCATACGGGGGACCGAGAGGCATTCTTCCTCTTCCCCAAAGCTAGACCTACGGCCATACTTTATTACCCTATCCTAGGGGACCGAGAGGCATTCTTCCTCTTCCCCAAAGCTAGGCCTATGGCCAACTTCTACCACCCTATCCTAGGGCTGGCCATGGCCACCGCAAGCCCTACTAGGCTGCCCACGGTCTAAGCACTCAAAAGTGCACCGTGCATCGCGCCTAGAGGCGCGCTTCACCATAGCCCGAACCTTACACAACCGGTGCGGGTCCTTGGCCCCCATGCCCATTCCGAGGGCAGGCATTGGCGACGTGGCCTGGCTGTCCGCAGCGGAAACACGAACCACGAAAGCCTTGGAAGTTGCCCGAGGTTGGAGGGCCACGTTTTGGGGCGAACGCCTTGGCGCCGTGGTTTCCACCACGGTGGGAGCGAGCGTGAGCGCCCGCCGCTCGGTCCATGGCAGCCACGTCCGCGACGGCTTGCTTGAACGGCCGCGAGGTGAGAAGGCTTTTCTCCAGGTACATCTTGTAGCGCTTGGCAACGCGGTCGTCGGATGCGTCTTCGACTTGAAACATGTCGAAGCGCGCGGAAATGTCGTCGAGGGCGGCGACGACCATTTCGAGTCCGCCCGCCGAGTCGCCGTGCTGCAGCTTGTGCTCTGCGTGTTTCAGGTAGGCCCGCATGTCCTCCAGAATCTCCGCTTTCGCCCGCACGTGCTCGTCGTTGAACGTCGCCGCCGACCAAGTGGTGTTAGTAGTAGAGGGGAGGGGGGGAAGATGCTCCATGGAATGAAAATTTGCGGTATGGACCGGAGCCTCACCATCATCGTCGTCGGAGCCGTCGGTGTCGTTGTCGGCCGCTGGCGCAGGTGGGATGCTGGCTGGTGCTTCCTTGTTGTGCCGGTTCGCCGTTGTTCCTCGCGCTCCTTTTTCTTTTTTTGCGTTTTCCTTGTTAGCAGATGCAGACGCCGCGGGTTGTGCAATTTCCGTAGCTGTAACGCTGGCGGGTTGTTGCTGTAACAGGGACAGAAGCGCAGCGACCTGGTCCGGAGTCAACGCGTTGGTCAACGCCGGGGTCGTCGCGTCAGAAGAAGTCGATGTTCGGCGCCTCTGGCGCTGACGCGACGGTCCAGCCACAGGCGCCGGCGTGTGCTCCGCGTCAGGCGCGTGTGGCACCCCAGGTGCTGCAGGTGCCGCCGTCGCCACTTGCGCCACACGCGCCTCAGGCGCCACAGGCGCCACAGGCGCCACAGGGGCCGAGGGGTGCTGCTGCTGGGGCGGGCTCGAGTTTTTGTTGACCTCGAGCCCGCCCAACAGCACGTCCACGGCAGTTGGGGCGGGCGATCCTTCCTCTGCCCGCCGCTTGTTACGGCGATCGCCCGTCATTTCTCGGGCGTTACGGTCGGAGTCGGAAACCGGCGCAGACGAATTGACGCGGTTAAGTGCCGGCGTAGACGCCATTGTAGATCGATTGTGGTTGAAAATGTCTTGCAGAAGTGTTGAGGGTGACTCGCCTCTGGGAAGGGTGCGAGTTCTAGCCAGCTTGGACGGGGAAAAGAACTACTCGAACGGAAATGTTGATTGAGCCGTTGGAAAACGAGAAACGTGGGTGGAGGGAATGAACTCCAACCCACGGTTTTTGTAGTTGGAGAAGGGCGTTTAGCGCGCTTCGACGCTGCCAAATATTCGGTACAGTCAGCTTCGCTTTCACAATACACAATTTTGAAAAACATCAATGTGTTTAAAAATTATAATATTTGTTATCCTGTACTAACGTACTACAGCCTGATATCGTTTGTAACTGCCACAGCCAAAAGAGCTGGCGTGGCATAATATCTAGTCAAGTCATACCCTGGCAAGATGCACACTACAAAATTAATGAATAAGGAGGCAGTGGTGCTGCAGGGCTGTACCATAACCCTGCTGTTGATGATAACCAGCAAGGATCACTAGGCTAGGCTGCACACAGAATAAATATGAAATGCTCTAACACAAAGAACAGGGCTGTAAGGAAGACGGTTTTTTCTAGGTGGACTAATGCATGACAACCACGTTTGGCGTTAGGCATGGTGGAAGGGTGGGGTGGGAAGCCGGCTTAGGCATGTGGAAGGGCAAACAGAACGCCAGAGGCCTTAACAAAGCTGCTTGGGTGCGGCATCTTGGCAGGATGCGGGGATAGGGTGGCAGATGTGTATGTGGGATGGCAGGGATTGACTGTTGGTTGGCAGGGAGCAAGCGTAGGGCGGCAGGGAGCAAGAGTGGGGCGGCAGGGAGCAAGAGTGGGGCGGCAGGGAGCAAGCGCAGGGCGGCAGGGAGCAAGCGCAGGGCGGCAGGGAGCAAGCGCAGGGCGGCAGGGAGCAAGCGCAGGGCGGCAGGGAGCAAGCGCAGGGCGGCAGGGAGCAAGCGCAGGGCGGCAGGGAGCAAGCGCAGGGCGGCAGGTTCTGAGTCTAGGACGGCAGGTGCCGCGACAGCAGCCCGTCAAAGGCCGTGTACAGGTCCTTGTTGTCGGGGCCAAATATCTCGTCTGCCTTGCGCAGCGTTTCCTGCCATGACAAGCATTTCGGGTGGGAAAAAGTGGGGTGAGAAGGGGGACTTCAGGAGGGCAGGTGTCGCGACAGCAATCCATCAAAGGCTGTGTACATGTCCTTGTTGTCGGGCCCGGATATTTCGTCCGCCTTGCGCAGTGTTTCCTGTCATGACGGGCGTTTCAGGTGGGAGATAGAAGAGGGTTATGAGGAGTTAAAAGGCGGGATGGTGGTGTCGCAACTGCAGGCCGTCAAATGCTGAGTAGAGGTCTTTGTTGTCGGGCCCAAGTATCTCGCCTGCCTTGCGCAGCGTTTCCTGTGATAATGGGCGTTTCAGGTGGAAAAATCGTAGGGGAATAGGGGGAGTGCCAGGGGAAAATGAGGGAGTTCCATCCAGCGGAGAAAATAGGCAACTAAGCAGATTGGTATTTTGAGTCGCCTATTTTTTAGGCGCCTCAAAAATAGAAAATAGGCAACTAAGAATTTGGTATTTGCAAATGAAGGGAAGGAGAGGATGGAAGGTGTGGGAGATGAGGAATGGGGAAGAAAAGAAGGAGGTTGCGGAGAGCGCAAGACTAAAGAAGAGCATGAACTTGGAAACCAGAAGGAAGGGGAAGAGGAACGGGAAGGAAAGTGGTTGGAGAGCATTGGGAGATGAAGTGGGTGGGGTGGGGAGGAGCTAGACAAGGGGGTAAAAGGAGGGAGTGTGTGGGAGAAACGAGGGGCTGTGGGGAAGAAAGGATATGGTGTGGGGAAGAAAGCATATGGTGTGGGGAAGAAAGGATATGGTGTGGGGAAGAAAGGAGGGGGTGTGGTCCGTGTGAGGGAGGAGAGGAGGGGGTGTGGTCCGTGTGTGGGAGGAGAGGAGGGGGTGTGGTCCGTGTGTGGGAGGAGAGGAGGAGACATGGTGGGAGAGAGGCGCACTTCTCTGGACTGTCTGTGTGCGTTGAGCTCCTTGATGTTGGCCAGGAAGGCGCTGAACTGCTCGTATGACAGACGGTTCCTGAGAGACGCGAATGGGGGAGCCAGGGGGGGGGAGGAAGGGAGAAGGGGAGGGTGGAAGAGGGTGAGGAGGTGGAAACAAGGGAAAGAAGCTTGAACTGCTGTTGAGCTCCTTGATGTTGGCCAGGAAGGCGCTGAACTGCTCGTATGACAGACGGTTCCTGAGAGAGGGCGATGGGGGGAGGGAGAAAGCGATGGTGGGGGAGGATGGGGAGGTAATAACAAGGGAAAGAAGCAAACACTTGTATGAAATGAATAACAAGGAATGCAATGAACTGAACTGCTTGCATGGCAGACGGTTCCTGGGAGAGGTGTGGGGATTGTGGTGGTGGAGGGGAGGAAGAGTAGAAAGAAGTGAGAGAGAGGTTGCAGGAAAAATGGCAGACCTCCCATTGTGCTTGTGTGTGCGGGAGGAGAGGGGGGCAGCAGAGAGGAGGACATGGGTGACGAAAGAGAGAGACACCATGCCATTGAGCATGCGACGCTACTTGCTACTTGTAAGTAGCTAGCAATGCTCAATGGCAAGTAGCAATGCTTGCTAATGGCAGAAGGTTTGCATACCAAGAAATGCAGTGAAGTGGACGTCTAACGGTGACTTGACAGAACAACACAGGGCAATGAGGGGGAATGGGCATTACCTTGCTTGTCTGAAGAATTCCTTGCCATCCACTCTTGGTGGCCGACCTGCGAGCAGAGCGGATTTTTTTGGCGTGTATTCTGAGGTGCCTCAAAATACACCTCAATGCTCGCGGATTTTTTTGGCGCTTCAAAATACATCTCAACAAAAGCAATGAAAGGGGGAATGGGCATTACCTTGCTTGTCTGAAGAATTCCTTGCCATCCACTCTTGGTGGCCGACCTGCGAGCAGCGAGTAAAGCACGGGGCACATGCATCAACGGTCGAAGATAAAGATTGTAACGTCGAGCTCTTGAAAAAAAAAGAAAAAGACGGCACACACACATGAACATGCACACGCATGTGGACAGACGCATACACATGCACACGCATGTGGACAGACGCATACACATGCACATACACGGTCATATAGTTTCACAATGACACAATCACACAGGTCCATGAAACATAACTATGTTTTCCTGTGGCGTCTTGCCATGCTAGCAATCCATACAGTTACAGTGCACCTTCACATAAACTAGGTTACTTTTGAGTCGACTCAAAAGTCGTCTTGCCATGCTAGCAATCCATACAGTTACAGTGCACCTTCACATAAACTCACCCAATGTGATAAGTCGATTTTTTAGTCGACTCAAAATTCGACCATACAGTTACCCAGTGCGCCTTCACATAAACGAGGTGACTTTTGAGTCGACTCAAAAGTCGTCTTGACATGCTAGCAATCCATACAGTTACCCAACGCACCTTCACATAAACTCACCCAATGCACGACAACCTAATGCACCTTACCCTATTGCATTGCACCCCACCCCTGAATACCCACCCACCCCATGCAGCCCACACCATCCTCATCTCACCTTCACTAGGAGTACTGGAGGCGGAATGGGGGCAAGTGGCAGTGGGGATGTCACCCACCATCACGCCTACGTATCCCATGCAAAAACACATACATTCAACCTTATACGCGAAACATACACCCCGTCCACCCAACCCCCACCTTCATGGGGAGCACCGGCAGCGGAATGGGGGAAGTGGCAGCGGGTATGTATCCCACAATCACACCTACATACCCCACTCAATCACACACATGCACCCATATACTCGACGCATGGCCCTCATGCACAACATGAAACCTACACATCCCATGCAGCGCTCACCTTCACGGGGAGCACCCGAGGCGGAGTGGGGGGGAGTGGCGGAGGGCGAGCGTCATGAGGGGCGTGCGCTCACCACATACGTACCCCATGCAATCACACACATGCACCCCATAGAATCACTCACATGCACCCCATCCCATAGAATCACACACATGCACCCCATAGAATCACACACATGCACCCCATAGAATCACACACATGCACCCCATAGAATCACACACATGCACCCCATAGAATTACACACATGCACCCCATAGAATCACACCATGCACCCCATAGAATCACACCATGCACCCCATAGAATCACACCATGCACCCCATAGAATCACACCATGCACCCCATAGAATCACACCATGCACCCCATGCACCCCTCACCTTCACGGGGAGCACCCGAGGCGGAGTGGGGGGGAGTGGCGGAGGGCGTGTATTGAGGGGAGACCAGGGAGGGCGTCATGAGGGGCGTGCGCTGCTTGCTGCTGCCCATGTTGCTGCCCGTTGGGATTGCAATGCTGGGCGGCCTGGGGGCTGAGATGCAAAAGGGGTATAGGATGAGGTGGCAACTAGTCAGCATGCGAGTAGATTGGTGCTGCCTGCTGCTGCCCATGTTGCTGCTTGCTGGAATTGCAATGCTGGGCGGCCTGGGGGCTGAAACAAGAGAAAAGAAGGATGCGAGGGGTATGGGATGAGAGGGAAACTAGTCAGCATGCATGCATGCAGGTTGCTGCTGCATGATGCTCATGTTATTGCACATTGTCAGTCTTTGGTGCATTTGGAAAGAGAGGGGTCTGAATAGGAGATAATGAGGGCTTGAGAGAAACGAAGAGGAGAGAGAGGGGCTGAATAGGAGATAATGAGGGCTTGAGAGAAACGAAGAGGAGAGAGAGGGGCTGAATAGGAGATAATGAGGGCTTACTAGTCTCTGCTGCAGCTGGCGTCGGCGTCTGATTGGCTGGCTTGGCCTTGTCCCCGGCATTGCTGTCCGCATCTAATTGGTCGGGAGCATGCAGCGAGGGTGGGAGAGAGGAGCAGCAGATGGCAGATGAGCACACTAATGGCACACTAATGGCACACTAATGGCACACTAATGGCACACTAGTGGCACACTAATGCCACACTAGTGGCACAATAGTGGCACATAACAGATGGCACATAACAGATGGCACATGGTAGGCAGATGAGCGTAAATGGTCCTTCCCTCCGCCTTCCTCCCTCCCTGCCCCTCTGCCCCTCTGTCCCCTTCCTCATACTCACCAGAGGCAGCAGTGGTGTGTGTTCTCCACCCACCCCTCTCCCTCCTGTCTCTTCATCCCCACGCTTAACAAAAGCGCCTTCCTCAGCTGGTTAATCCTCCTCGACCCACGCACTGCCCACTTGCCCCTATCTCTGCTACCTCTTCATCCCCACGCTCACCAGAAGCGCTGTCGCCAGTCTGCAGCAGAAGGCCCGCTACCAGCAAAGGCAATGGGGGTCGTCACTTCTCCCCCCGAGCGCATTCCCTTCCTCCTTTCTGTCGATCCTCTCACCAGAAGCACTGTCACCATGCTGCTTTGCAGCAAAAGCCCCACTAGCAGCAGAGGCATTGAGAGTTGTCACTTGGCCCTTGTCCCACGCACTTCCCAAGTGAGAGTAATCCTTTCCTTCTGACTTTCTCTCCTCTCATCTGAAGCGCTGTCGCCAGTCTGCTTTGAAGCGGAAGCCTCATTACCAGCGGAGGCAATGGGGGTCGTCACTATTGTTGTCACACACACTGCCCAACCGCCCGTATCCCTCCTGTCCCTTCATCCCCACACTCACCAGAAGCGCTGTAGCCAGTCAACTTTGCAGCGGAAGCCCCACTACCACCTGAGGCCGTGGTGGGTTTGACGCTGCTAGCTTCTGCTCACCTTGTCTCTCAAGAGTCCTACTAATTGGTCATACCCACACTCACCAGAAGCGCTGTCGCCAGCCTGCTTTGCAGCCGATGCCCCGCTACCAGCCGAGGCCGTGGTGGGCTCTGACGCTGGTGGTTTGGGGGCAGCGGCAGTGGCTGCGGCCTGTGAGTAGGGGAGGAGAAAGCGATGGGTAAGGTTGAAGGAGGGAGGAGAAGGAAAGGTAGGGGTGAGGAGGAGGAGGAGAAAGGGACGGGTAAGGGTGATGAGAGGGAGGAGAAGGGACACGTAAGGGTGAAGAAGATGAGGCAGATAAAAAACATCAGGTGTCAGGCAAAGAAATGAGCATCTGATGCGATTGCTCACCATGGAGGGTGATTCGTCGTCGTTCTCGTCCTGCAGCTGCTGCATCAACGTGCGCTTGAACGTCTCCAGCTGTACACGAAGTTAAACAAAAAACAGGAAACAAACATTTAAAATCTGCAGAATATGACGACATTGCGAGGAACCTGAGGAACACGAACGGAAAAAAAGGCCTGACATTTACAATACTATACAAGGTAACGATTTGTGGATGATTGAAAAAGCGCTGGTAGAGAGAAGCAAGGGAGGACGCACCGTTGGGGGTTGCGACAAGCAGACAAGGCTGTTGAGAGGGCCACATGAGCGGTGCATAATGGGCAGTGTGAGGAAAACCTGGATTGAGGATGGGGGGAGGATCACTCACCTTTGCCACGTCACGATTAAGCTTCTTCACCATGGCGACAAGTGCCGTCTTCTCATTGGACAGCCGCGCCTGCCAGTGGCGAGAAACAACCCACGAACGGGAGTGGTTTGAGAAAAATGATGAAACGCTTAGAGTGTTCGTTCAGATGCACCTCGCAACAATAAACTACAGAGCGAATGGAAGGCTCGAGAAAAGGGCGGGAAGCTGTGGGAAACGAAGAACATCGGTACGAGAACGGTGCGAGACAAGATAGTCAAAGCACGCGGCATAATGCCGAGGAATATGATGGAAAATGAGGGTGAAGGAACATGCAGGAACATGAAGGGGAGAAAGAGGGTGATTCATTGAAAAGGAGAATGGCGGGAGATGATAGATGACGAAGGGGAGCAAAGGGAAACAAGGGCTATGCGGAAAAATGAAGGACGCGAACGCACCTGCTCCTGTTCCGACTTCTCGACCTTGTCGATAGCTTCCCGTAGGGAGGCCTCCAGACTCGAGACTTTCTCCTCGAGGCTCTTCACAGACCCTTGGCTCGCTTCGTAATTGCTGCGCATGCTACTCGACTCTCGCTCACATTGCTGCGCATTCGCGGACATTGCTCTAACGGCGATGCTTCGCGATATTCGCAGCATTTCGAACGGATCGGCCGGGAGGAGATCGAGAATCTCCTGAGGAATGTCATCAACTCCGGAGACATCGCCTGAACCTGATCCCATCCTTAGGCTATTCAAAGCACTAATCTGGTCACCAAGGAGTGGGAGCGAGGTGTGTTTTCTAGTCGACTCGAAATACTATTAGGCCCTGCTACGCGCTACTACGGGCCACACTGGTGCCGGAGCCCTGGAAGCCTTAGACGCTTATACTTCAAATGCGTTCTCTGCGGTCAAATATCTGGAGACGGACGCGCAACGAGGGAAAAGAGGAACAAATGCTTCAACTTCATACTCATGATCCTGTACCCTAACACGAGTAGCTGCTATCTAACAATGGCCAAGGTTAGCCCTAAGAGCATGGGAAGTCTGACTTCCATGAAATGTTTGAAGAGAGGTGGAATGGGATGAAGTGTCGTTTGTTAGTAATCGAGGGGGATGAAATGAGGTGGAAAGTGAAGTGAAACCTGCCGAACAATCAATATCTATCGACCACCCTCGGTATTGGGTGAAGAAGAGGAAAGCCCAAGGTTTGAGGAGCCTTGGGACTGGTATGACATGGTACTGAAAACGCATGCCAAGCCTCTCGACTAGGCTAGGCTATGGGCAGGCTCCTGTCTAGGTGCTTGCTCAACCTAGATTTTGCCGAGCCGGGAGACATCAGCAACGATACGTGCGGGGCGCGAATATATGGTGATAATTGAGGGGTGAGAAGATGTGTGATTGGGAAAATCCCCGAGAGGTTGGAACATCCGCGACAATGGGATCTGGTCAAAATTGAAGTACACAGTAACATAGACAGAGTTCGCTCTCATATCATTTGCCTATCAAGTTGTTCTATCCATTTTGAGTTGCAATATATGGTCCATGAACATACATTAACCGTTAGAATGAACGCATAAATACAATATACGGATCTTATTTTACACATTCCCTGCGATCTCGTCATCTGTAAGATCGTTAAAGGTCTCAACATTAACACTCGCACTTTGAAGAATCGTATACTCGATAATAACCTGAAACAGAGAAGACGATTCCAGATTAGCCCAATCAAAAGACCACCACAGCACAGGCGCGCGCGCACGCGCGCGCAGACACACACACACAAATGTAATTGTAACTGTAACTCACCTCCATGTATGCATCCATTTTTGGGTCCGGTCCAAGTAGACGTGTATACCCATCATACCAGGGTGTGCCAGGAGCCCAGAGATAATGGAAATCTTGGAACATCCGGATGGTGTAGATCGCCTTCAACGGGTCAAAGAACCCTGGCGTTTTCTCATTCGTCGCAATGTACAGAGTGCGTCCCGGTGCAACGAACCTGGGAAGCTTCTCCAGTAAACTGGGTGGGATCAAAGCAAGGACAACATGGCAGGTGAAGCAAGAATGCACATATATATATTACAGGAGCTAAGGCTACTCGTTCACAGTAAAAAACGAGCTGTTCGGGGACCAGGAAGCATTGGCAGATGTTGGGGGGCAGTGGCTCACACAAATCCCATAAGAGAGAGGAAACCTTGCGGAGCGAGAAGCATCATCAGCATTCGTGGCTTGAAAAATTCCCTTACGCTTCGGGACGTGTGTCGTGGTCGAGGTGCGGCCAGAACTCTGGGCGCAGCTTGTCGCCGCGCCTCACATGCACGGCATCAAAGTCGCCTCCATTCATGGAGGCAGAGATGTTTGCTGCCAGCGCCAGCAGCTCCGGGCGAAACCGAATGGCCGTCTCGCTCACCCCTGCCGGGGTGTCCTGGCGCTGGAGGGGGGAGGTAGGGGGTGGGGAAGAAGGTGGGGTGGGGGGAGGTGAGATGTTTGCTGCCAGCGCCAGCAGCTCCGGGCGAAACCAAATGGCCGTCTTGCTCACCCCTGCCGGGGTGCTCTGGCGCTGGAAAGGAAAAGGGGGAGGGGGGTTGGGGGGGCAGGGGGATATACGGAAAACACATGGCTGTCTCGTTCACCCGCGAGGAGGTGTTTTAGTGTGCGCGGGGACAGGGGAAAGTGCTGTGAGAAGGGGAGAATGTAGAGAGTGCGGAGGAAGAGTAAAGAAATGACATGGGATTTTGTAAGGGGGGGATAGCGCAGGGAGTGTGCAGGGAGTGTGGAGGAAGAGTGAAGAAAAGACATGGGATTCTGTAAGGGGGGGATAGCGCAGGGAGTGTGCAGAAAATGTGGAGGAAGAGTGATTCCAGCTGGAACCGAATGGTGGCTTCAACTCAACTACCAATAAGGGGGTGCTGGAGCTGGAAGAGGGGGGAGAGACGTGGAGAGAAAGGAGTGAAATTCTGTAAGGGAAGGTTAGTACAGAGAGAGTAGAGGAGGAAGAAATCTCGCTGAAACCAAACATAGAAAAACAGTAACGAGAATCACCCCCATCCCACCAATTCATCCCCACCCGTCAATCCCAGCCCAACCTCATGCGTCCCCAACCACACTCACCTAGCTCAGCCCATCTGCACCCATTGTTTCGCGGATAACCAGAGGAGTAGCTCCATCCGCGGCCATATGCGCATCCACCACACGCACATGGATAACCCCCTCCCGCCCCGCCCACACTCAACCGCACCCATCTGCACCCATTGCCACCCACCTTGCACGTGCTGAACCCGTAGTTGGTTTCGCGGATAACCACGGGAGTAGCTCCATCCGCGGCCAGTGCGGCCATGGGCGCCCTTTCATCCACCACACGCGCGCGGATAGCACCATCCCGCCCCGCCCGCCTCTCCTGCACCTGCCACTCGCGCGCCCCCCTCAGAAAGCCCTGTAGCGGTGTGAAGGGCACGGTTCTGGGGGGGAAATAGTAGGAGGTGAAAGGGAGGCGGAAGGGAGGGGGGAAGGGGAGGAAGAAAGAAAAACAAATTTGATAGGGCGCCCGCCTCTCCTGCGCCTGGCCATTCGTTCGCCCTCCTCAGAAAGCCCTGCAGCGGTGTGAAGGGCACGGTTCTGGGGGGGAAGAAGGGGAGGCGAGGAGGGTGGGAGAGGGGGGTTGGGTGAGGGGAGAAGGGGCGGAAGGGAGATGAGATGACTATATTTGAGGCGGGGGAGCGGGCGAGGGGGGAGAGTGGGAGTGGAAGAGGGGGGAAGGGGCGGAAGGGAGAGGAGATGACTATATTTGAGGCAAGGCCTGCCGCTCCTGCCCTTGCCACTTCCGATCCCCCTTAAAAAAGCCTCTGTAACGGCGTCAAGGGCGTATCCCTGGTTGAGGGGAGCTGAGGGGGGGAAGGGGAGGAAGGGGGATCCAGATCCCCCTTCAAAAAGCCCCTGTAACGGCGTCAAGGGCGCATCCCTGGTTGAGGAAGGGGCAGTGGGGTTCAAAGGAAGGGGCAGTGGGGGATTTGGGAAGAGGATGGATGGGAAGGTAGGGGGATTGGAACTTAACGTGAGTACGTGACACAGCTGAGGAGGAGAGCATAAACAGATGGGAATGAAAATAAGAGGGGGAAAGGGGAGCAAGATCTTCTCAGCTCAAGATGAGCACAGTGGGAGGGTGTGGTGTGGGTGTATCAGAGCGGGAAAGGGGAGCAAAATCTCCTCCAGGGATCACTCAAAGCCCAGAAAGGGACAAACAAATCAAACATGAAATGATTACCTGAGAGAGTCCAGGTCATGGTAAACGAAAGCCGGTAATAGAAAACAGAGAATTCAATACAGTAAATTATTTACCTGAGCGAGTCTAGGTCATAGTACACGTGGATGGATCTGATATGATGCATGCCTCCGCTGTGCCACGCGTTCACGCACTGAGTCATGTCCAGAATCAGTGTACGGTTCAGATACGCCGCCTCCGCGATCAGACACGTCAGGCTGAGGTGGAAATGCTTCACTCCAGCGCAGTAGTCGCGTGAGCCGGTAATGAAGAGGTACCGGCCGTCAGGCCGGAAGTAATCCTGACGGCTAACCGGCAGCCACGGCGTTTCCCACAGCACAGAGTGCAGAACGGGCATTCTAGACCGGATCGCCTTGTCGTGCAAGAAACCCACGAACTTCGTGGAAGTTTCCAACTGCTTCAATCGAACCACGTCATCGTTCCGGACCGGTTCAAACCGCGGGTTCCTCACCCGCTTGCCGTTCTCGCCAACCTTTCCGCTAATTTCGTCGTCCAAAGCTGGTAACCCGTATTCTGACGTTTCTGATTCCAAGCCGACTCTAGTACTGTCAGCAACCACATTAGGACTAGCAACCCCTCGCGCTCCCTTTTTGCTGCGCCTGCTGCTGCCGCCAGATCGAGCCGCATCAGCGAGAAGGCTCTGCGACGGTGCTTTCTGAAACGACTGCCGCGTAGCAACGGCGCCAGCAGCAGTATGCTGCTTCTGCTGCTGAAGATTATTTTCCTGCTGCTGCTCCTGCGAGGATTGCGGGTGTTTCCACAACAAGATCCCACGATCCGACGGATCTACGAAGTCGAAGGGACGGCAGAAGGATGGGGGGGATAGGAAGGGAGAGAGGAGCAGGACGGCGAATGCCAAGCCGCGAACGGAGGAGACGGTGGAGAACGGGGAGAGATCGCGGCTCAATGCACGGAAATTCCGCATTTTCAGCGCTTCGAGGACTGTTTCTTCGATCGTATCGACCACTTACAGAGGTGACATTTGAGTCGACTGAAAAGCTACGGGAACGCCTAGACTGACGTAAAGTAACAGCACCGAGCCTAATGCCTGCTTAGTGAGGGAATATAGCAAGGTAATGCGTCAGAAATGGAGCACTGCCGGATATAGCTAGTCGCGCTCACTGTCTTGCACAACTGGGCGTCCATGGCTGTTCTACCGTCTCAACGACCCCAGCCTGTGGCCTGTGATAACTTCTTGAGGCGCCTCAGGAATATTGCTAGTCGGACTTAGTAGAGTCTTGAACGACTGGCTGTTCATGGCGGTTCTACCGTCTCACCGGCACCAGCCTGTGGCTGTGATAACAGGCACGCGCGCGGGGTGCTCGTAATTATTCCAGACAGCTTTTCAGGTTTCCCATACTTACTACGTATCACTCAGTAACTTTCATAGCATGAGGCGACAACAGGCTTGCTTCTGGGGCAAGCTTGACTCGTGTGAATTTCGCTTTTCACACACGTGCCACGGTTATATCTGGTTTACTACGATACGAAAAGGTTTAGAGCTATCATCCTAGGTGCTGTCGTGTGGAGGATTCGCTGTATCGCAGTTGATCAGCGGACGAACAAGAGCGACGCACGGTCGCATGCTCAATGTTCGCTTGGGTGTGGTGTGAGAAAATGTGCTCGGGTAAGGATAGCTATTTTTGCGAGTTTGGCGTCGGTCTGATACGGTTACGGGTTACAGGTAGTCGGTTTGACCTGCACCATGTCAACTTCCCTGGCAGTGCACCCCACCACCGACCACTCGAAATTGACGAACTCTGCTGATCGCTTTTGGCAAGTGCACCTGTTAGAAAATTCATACCCACTATAGAATCGTCCAAGAATCACGCAGTTGGAACATCCAGCATGAACACCGCCACTCTTTATTTGTACGTGTTTCAGTTATAATGTATACGCTCGTTGTAATCCCACACATTGGCTAGGTTGGACTTTCGCTTCTTGCCATTGGCTCGGTCTGCCACACGGATATTCAGCCAGGAAAGAGGATGAAGCAATCAAACCCGCCTGATTGGCGTAACGCGCGTGCGTGGCGGGAAAGTTCCCGACAGGTGGTCCGAGGGTTGAGGCCTGGAGCGCGGATGGGGAAGTTCTCGAGGGTCACACTCACACATCACATCACAACTCTGTCTGGTCTGTGAGTGACCCCCAGTCAGCATCATCCATGTCATGTCACCTCATGTCAATTGGTCATGGCTGGCACTCTTGATGTGTCATGTCATGACTGTTAGGACTTCTCTCACACTGCCCGCTTTTAGTCAAGATGCAGCTCTTTCGAGGGCACGAAGCAGAACGGAACGGAGTTGCGGAACACAAGCTAGCAACTGCTGGTCGGAGTGGTTTGGTTGATGTGCGACACGGATCAGCAAGCGATGCGATTCGAGCGAATATGCCTTCAGTCAGCACCACTACAGCAGCACCCGTCGCACAGTGATTGTACTGTACAAATTCTTCGACTGAACGAAAACGAGCTTCAAACGAAAGCTGGATTCAGCGGCTTGCTTGTCCGTCAGTCAACGTCGGGAAGAAAGGAAGGAAAGGAACACTTTCTCGAATTCGGCAGCCACCTCAAGCACCAGTAAAGTGCACTGTAAACCAGAGTGGGCTGCAATTGACCGTATTCAACCCTACCGCATCTTTCTCCTGATTTATCCATCCCTTCTCCATTCCATTATACCCCACTTGGACGTTGTGTGTTGATGCGGTTGGCTGAGATGCTGTAGGCTCTTTAACGGTTCATTGCTACTTACCAGTGGTTAAACAATGTCACCCAGCAAAAGAAAGCCCTTCCTCTTCATCTTTCCACCCTGAACTTTCTTTGTCCTGCCTGTTCTGTGACCATCCTTCAGCTGCTTCTGCTGCTTTATCCGCTAACCCTAGATCAGGTCTAGGAAATCTTAGCGTATCAGGGAGTTTCGTGAATGTCAGAAAGCTGCTCTTTAAAGACGCCTGACACAAGTTTCCTGGTGCTAGTGTTATTAGTTTCACGTGGTGTCTTGAAGAGCACAAGAATAAGTCATAGTAACTTTGTATTTCGAGCGAATTGTGCGTGGCTCTCTTGTCTTCGTCTGAGCTGATGCTGAGTACATGATACAATATTTCCTGCAGCTGGCATGTGTTCGTATCTAACTCAACGGGTTCGTTAAGCGGTACGGGCAATATAGGCTGGTCTTATGGGCTGTGCGGGATCGAAAACTAAGGACGATACGTCTCCTCCTCGACGGAGAGATGCATCAGAGGAGGCCGTTCCCGCTCCGAAAGTTGCACCGGACGATTTATCAGGTACCTCTACACGCTCGTGGTTTCTTTCGAAGCTTTCTGTGGTAAATTCCACGCTCCACTTAGTCTTACTAGATATAGTCATGGATGATTAGTTCGGCCGAATTCTGGGGAACATCTTGTTAGCTTTAAGCGTAGCTGCTTTTTAAGGGCTCAGAACTTTTGAGGCTGACTGACGATGCATTTGCAATATCATTTTGCCAGAATTCGGTGGATGTGGCTGTAAGGAAGAGTCACAAGAGTCGCACTTCGCAAGTAGAGCTTAGTTGATAATCCAGATTAGGCTAAGATCAGGCGGCTCGAATTCCTCAAATATGGTGGAACCGTTGACGATTCTCTTTAGAATCCCTGAGCTGCTTCAGTCAGACACGTCGAATCTTCCCAATGGTTCTGTCGTTGCTCTATCGGCAAATCCACAGTGAATATACTGTGAATGTTCTTTTTCCATGGTGCTTCATTTGCCGCTGTTTTTCCCCCGTCTGCTGACTCGATTGTTTGCAGATAATGGACCATTGCTAGCGCAAAGCCCGAAGATTAAAGCCCAAAGCGGCCTTTCAGAACCTAGTAGATCCGACAAATCCCCAACCGCGGCACCGGCAGATCAATTGTTATCACGAGACGATGGACCAGCAGCAGATTCTCAACGGTCAAATCCACCGACACAGGTTACCGGGTTACCACCAGGAGGTCCACCGGGGTTACACGGATCGCCAGCTGTTCCCGCGCAGGAGCAGTCACCGCAGAGCGAATTGGCAGCAGTGCCAGCGCCGTCGCCGGGGCCCACAGGAGCGCGGATTGCGGCTCAGACGTTCACGTTTCGAGAGCTGGAGCGAGCGACGGGCGGGTTCTCCGAGAAGAATTTTATAGGCGAGGGCGGGTTTGGTCGCGTGTACAAAGGGTGGCTGGAGTCTACAGGCCAGGTGGGTGCCTAAATATTCCAACAGGGACGGCTTATGGAGAATGACTGAGTGTGATGAACGGGGCGGATAGGTGCAGGGCAATTGGGAGTTCCTTGTCAAAGTGCTCATGCCCAGCCAGCTGCACCATCCGAATCTGTCACGGACCTTTTTCTTTCTGGTCCCTGCCATAACCTGTCAATGCTCCTTTCTGTTACCCAAACAGGTGGTAGCGGTGAAGCAGTTGGATAGGAACGGCGTGCTGGGCAACAGGGAGTTCCTGGTCGTGGTGCTCATGCTGAGCCTGGTGCACCATCCGAATCCCACACGGCTCTTTCCCGCTCTTGCCCCCCTGCCGTGTGTGTGAACACTTCTTGGTGTTGCCCAATCAGGTGGTAGCTGTGAAGCAGTTGGATAGGAACGGCGTGCAGGGAAATCGGGAATTTCTGGTGGAGGTGCTCATGCTCAGCCTGCTGCACCATCCGAATCTCGTGAATCTCATTGGCTACTGCGCGGACGGCGATCAACGGCTGCTGGTGTACGAATTCATGCCACGTGGCGCCCTTGAGGACCATCTGCATGGTGAGAGAGAGGGAGAGAGTAAGTGCGGATGGTGTGTTGAGAAAAGGAGGAGAGGAGTCAGGACGAGTTCATGCCACGTGGCGTGCTCGAGGACCATCTGCATGGTGAGGGTGGGAGAGAGAGTGGTCAGTGCGGACGGTGTGATAAGTGGGGCGAGGAATGAGGAAGGAGAGGACTGAGGGATGAGGAGAGGAGTGAGGGAGGAGATCTCAACACATTCGACTTGCCCCGCTTGACCCGCTCGCCCTCCTCCCCTGCCTCCTCCTCCCCTGCATCTCCCCGCACCTCCTCCCCCGCTCCCCCCCGCCTCTCCCCCGCCTCATCCCCACCTCCTCGTCCGCGCTCTTTCCCTCCCTCCCTATTCTCCCTCCCCACCCCCCGCCATCCCCTCCCCCTCAGACCTACCTGAGGGCAGGGCGAGTCTGGAGTGGAGCAAGCGCATGAGAGTGGCAGCAGGGGCGGCCAAGGGCCTTGAGTACCTTCACGAGGAGGCTTCTCCGCCCGTCATCTACCGCGATTTCAAGTCCTCCAACATCCTCCTCGACGAGAACTGGCACCCCAAGCTCTCGGATTTCGGGCTGGCGAAGCTGGGGCCTGTGGGGGACAAGACGCACGTGTCGACGCGGGTGATGGGCACGTATGGGTACTGCGCGCCCGAGTATGCGATGACGGGGCAGCTCACGGTTAAGAGCGATGTGTATAGTTTCGGAGTGGTGCTGCTGGAGCTGATCACGGGGCGGAAGGCCATTGACAGCTCGAGGCCGCATGGAGAGCACAACCTCGTTGCTTGGGTGGGTGTTTTTGGTCGTTGCCCTTGTTGCGCAAGGTGATTTGGTGTGAAATCCCCCCCTCTTTGTTCACTAATGCATGCGAATGCTGCACGTTGCGTGAGTTTGCGACTGTCATGTCCGAGAGCTTCACAGATTGTGCGATTGACAAAGCAGTTGGCGGCCCTTCTAATGCTGCGCCAATACCCCGATGTGAGGACTGTACCTTTGAGTCGCCACCTCTCGCTATGTCCTCCACTTCCTCCCTTCTCCCCGGCCCCTTGCATCCATGTGTGTGTGTCTCTCTCTCTCTCATTCTGTCTTCCTACCGCCCACCAACCCCGCTCCCCCCACCCATCACAGGCGCGGCCGCTCTTCAAGGACAGGAGGAAGTTCCCAGCCATGGCGGACCCCTTGCTGCAGGGGCGCTACCCCATGCATCCATGTGCCTTTCTCTCTTTCTCTATCTATCGTCCTCCCCAACGACCCCTTCCCCCACTCACACAGGCGCGACCTCTATTCAAGGACAGGAGGAAGTTTCCAGCCATGGCGGACCCCCTGCTGCAGGGCCGCTACCCCATGCGTGGGCTGTACCAGGCGCTGGCAGTTGCTGCCATGTGCCTGCAGGAGCAGGCCAGCCAGCGACCCACCAACGCCCCATGATATATGATGTGGTCACTGACAGCGCTCATAAAACCATCCCCCCCACTCCCAACCCTTCCACCTCCCACCTTCCCACTTCCACCCCACGACCCCCCCTCCGCCCCCCATCCCCCTTCCGCCCTCCCCCCTCCCCCCCACAGGCGCGGCCGCTCTTCAAGGACAGGAGGAAGTTCCCAGCCATGGCGGACCCCCTGCTGCAGGGCCGCTACCCCATGCGTGGGCTGTACCAGGCGCTGGCAGTTGCTGCCATGTGCCTGCAGGAGCAGGCCAGCCAGCGCCCCATGATCCACGATGTGGTTACCGCTCTCAACTACCTGTCGTCACAGCCCTACGACCCAAATAACAACCCGCAACCCAGGTAAGGCCTCGACCCCAGGGGTTTCCCTGTTGCTTTTGGGGGATTATGCTCGTAGCAGGAGCAGGCCAGCCAGCGCCTCATGATAACTTCTGAGGCGCCTCAATAGACGCCCCATGATCCATGATGTGGTTACTGCGCTCAACTACCTGTCATCGCGGCCTTACCCCATCAACAACCCACACTTTGGTAAGGCTTTCTAGCGAGGTTCAAGCCAGGGGAGTTGTTAATTCGCCTGTTATCTCTCGCCCCTCTCACTTCCCTTTCCCTCCCCTTTCTTTCGTTCCCCTACCCAACCCACACCTCCATCCCGCTTCATTGTTCTCTGCAGCACCCCTGGGAGATACTCGCCAGGCTCCACGCCCCTTCATGAGAATTGTCTTTTGAGACTTCTCAAAAAACACACCTCCATCCCCCATTCAAGGTTCTCTGCAGCACGCCAGGGAGATACACGCCAATCTCCACGCCCCTTCAGGAGAATTGTTGTGAACTCGCCTGTTATTCCCGCCTCCCTCACTTTCCTTTCAACCCCCCATCCCTCCCCTCCCTCCATCCCCTTAAATTATTCTACTGCAGCACGCCTGGCAGATACACGCCAGGCACGACGCCCCTTCACGAGAAGAAGGGGTCTCGCTCGCCCCGCGTGCGCAACCTGCAGTCCCCCCGCGCATCGCCTCAACAGCAGCAGCAGCACAAGCACCGACAGGGGGGTTCCGGGGGGAGTGTTCACCAGCATCAGCAGCAGCATCGGTCAAGAGGGGAGAGGGAGAGAGAGCGAGGAAGGGAGCGAGAGGGGGAGGAGAGGGGGCGGCAGCATCAGGGGGGGCAGCAGAGGGGGGAGAAAGGAGGGAGAGGGTATCGTGAAAGCCCTGGGAGGGCCGGTAGCAGGGGGAGCGGAGGGGGGGTAGAGGGAGAGAGCCCGAGGCAAAGGGGGACGCCGAGGGGAAGCAGTAGTAGTGGGGGAGGCGGAGGGGGGGGGGGGGAGGGGGAGGAGGAGGAGGAGGAGGGGGAGGGGGAGGAGGAGGGGGGGGGGGAGTATCAGAGTAGAGGTTCGTCTGGACGAGGCATGGTGAGTCCAGGGGGGAGTGAGTCAGGCAGAGAGAGACGAGGTGACTATTAAGTCGACTCCCGAGTTTTTTGGACGAGGGTTGGTGAGTCCAGGAAAGGAGAGAAGAACAGGGGCATGCAGAGGAGGAGGAGAAGCGCAGAGGAGGTTAAGGGTCGCAGCAGGAGGAGGTGGGAGGGTGGCAGCAGAAAGGATTGGGAGAGGCGAATTGGGCTGTGTGCGAGCGCTATTGCATCCGAGTATTTGAGACGTCTAAAAAATTCACTCTTATGACGTGCACTCGAGGGTCGAGCTTTTGCTGGGGGGTATTTGGATGTCATGTTCTTGAAGTGGCTGGAACGTCACAGCAGCTATAGAAACCCAGGAAAAGCAGCGGCGGCAGTAGGAATAGTAACAGCAGCAGGAACAGCAACAGCAGTGGGAGCAGAGCAGCAGCACAGGAATTGAGAAGCAGGCTGGTGTAGACCCCTGCTGGACTGTTGGCGTGCGAGAGAGGAATGGTGGAGCATGGAGTGTGTTACTGCAGGGTGTAACTGCTGCAATGAAAAAAGAATGTGAAGTTACCTATGTGCTGTGTATGGCTATATGGTGAATGTGCGTGCCTGTGTGGTATGTATGCATGGCAGGCAAGTGCGTGTGCTTTGAGGTTCTACGTAATGCATGTAAGTTGTATGTGGGCAATGCATGGCGTAAGGTGGTTTGGTTATGGTGACTATTGCGGTTGACACTCTAGCATGGATTTTGAAGCAGCAGTAGTATTGAATGATATTTAGGAGCTAAGTTGGCATGAGGTATTTGTTGCAAGTTTTGGGCATGACTGCATTGCAACATGCAGTGTATTCCCGCCTTGGTGCTAACATTGTGTTTTTCCTTTCCTAGTGGTCTAAGATGCATGAAATGTATTTCATATGTAATAATACTATTATACTCTGAATGCTAGGCCACCTGAAAGATCTCTCTGTGCTGTTATCAACCTTCTGTTAGTATTTTCTCTACAGAAGTTGTACTCTTGGGTTACTGCAAGAAATTTTCTCGACATTCCTTACTGAGACCGGCAACACGGCATACAGCAGCAATCGTTGTTCGTCCGTTACGGCTAACGGGGCTTCGCCAACTTCGCGTGCACTGATTCACCAAACCATGCACCGTTGGTCCGGCCGTGTCGGCCTACGCTTCGGGACTAGCCCGAACCTCGATGCCAGCATAGCACTTGCTAGCTCGCACGCACCGCGTTACCGTTTGCATGTTTCGCGTATAAATGTTCGCTCATGCCTTCGCTCACATTTTGTACTCGTTTGACACCTTAGTGCAATCCTCGCTACCTCGATTAATTGCACCCATAACACTTGGTACGGTATTCAGAGCTACTTTCTTTCAGACCGCGCATCTCCGCACCCCAGAAAAGGAACTTTTGATTTTTCACTCGAAGGGACTCACGCACCTTAGTTTCTAGGAGCCGTTGTCCTCGCGTTCTCTCGTAAACGCATGCAGCCACGACCGCGCCTAGACTAAGCTGAGCCGACGCCCTTCGCAATGGCCGAGCACATCGACGTCACCATCCTCACGCAGGAGCGTCTGAACGAACTGCTGAAGCAACTTCGCGAAAGCTCTGAGAAAATCGCGGCGCTGACGGCAGAATGCGCGTCCCTGCAAAATGACGTCGCACGAGCACAGCAAGCGCAATCACAAGCACCTGGCACTACGGAACAGCCCGCACTGCATGCATCACAACAGGGAAGTGTGGGGCAACCCGCGAGCGCGGCCAGTAATGGCGTCGTCCGCCACGACGGAGACGACGACAACGGCGCGACACACCCCGAGGCGACGAATGCGGCCCGAAGCCAGCCGCGCCGCACGATTTCGGCACCTATCAACGATTCGGCACTGCCGTCACCGATGCCGCTGAAGCCGCAGCGTCCGCCATGTTTTGACCCGAGTAAACGGGGTGGTCCTATCGTTCAGGCGTGGTTGTTCACGGTGAAAGTGTTTTTCGACGCCAACTACGTCTCGGAGGAAACGGCAAAAATTCGCTACGCCGTGTCGTTGCTGCGAGGACCCGCCATGGACTGGTGGCGTGTCATCTTCACGAAGCCAAACGGCTACGCGACTCTACCGGCACGGGAAGGACAAACCGGACCCTGGGTGCCGTCATATTTCGTGATGGTGCCCCCATATCGTACGTGGGACGCGTGGTGTGCAGGTCTGCGCGCTCGATTTGAGCCAATTTCGGCTTCGATCGCGGCGCGTCAGAAGCTCCGCAGTTGGCGCAAACTCAGTTCCGTCCTAAACAAAACTAGCAGGTTTCTGGCGTTGTGCGAGCAAGTGGGATCCATGCACGAGGGCGAGCGTATCGACCGCTACATCGGCGGCCTGAAGCACGACATCGCCCAATAGATCCAGCTCTGCGACGTCACTGATTTTCAGGAGATTCTCGCCATGGCGGAGAAGGTCGACTTTTTCCGCCGGCCGAGACCGGGATCCTACGGAAGTAGTAACTGGGGACATCGATCTCGTGGGACGAGCGAGGGCACTACGATACGTGCCGTCGCCGCGAATGCCGCTGCCGCACCGTTCAAATGGCGCTGCTTAGCATGCAATCGGTCAGGACACCGTAAGAGCGAATGCCCGGAAAACACTAAGGGGAAGGGGGAAGCAGAGCAGCAGAAACAGACCAAATAGCAGGGAAACGCTGGGAGTCAGTAGCAAACGGGCCCTCTACTGACAGGTCACGCCGCTCGCTGGACCCAACCGACCCTCACCGAGCGATTGTGCTGGTTCACGCAATCGACCACACCCGGCCGAATAAGGAGGGTACTATGGTAGACAGCCTTATACTGCTTAAGGGGAAAATCGGGATGGACTTAGTTAAAATATCCGTAGACGGGGGAGCCAGCCACAACCTGATCAACACCGCCACAGCACGAAAACTTAGACTGTCATTGCACAGATGTTTGCCTGAGATTGACGCAAGACTGGTTGACGGCACGCCACTGGCGATACGAGAACGCGTAGACCGGGTTCGGATTCGATGTAGGGGTAACTTTACGTTCAGTCAGGAAATGCTCGCGAAACCCTCGCGGAACTGACATTTTGCTCGGTCGTGATTGGTTGCGATGACACAATCCGCAAATCGACTGGACCACGGGTGACTGCACCGTGCGAGTGAACGGTAACAACATCGCCTTACCTCACTTGGGCTCGCCTGAGTCTTCGTCGGTGCGTAGCGGCAGGAGCTGACGTGTACGCGGTTGACATTCGGGAAGCCGAGGCAGCAGACAAAGGGGGGGATTTACAAAAATTGCTAGCCGACGTACCGGATGATCTGGCAGCAATACTGAAGCAGTACAGTGACATTTTCCCGGACGACCTACCGACGGGACTGCCACCTCAGCGACCGCACGACCACAAGATAGAGCTAGAATCGAGGGCACAGCTGACAGTACAGCGACAGTTCCGATTGACCCAGCCCGAACCGGATGAACTGAGGAAGCAGCTGGATTATCTGCTCAAGAAGGAGTTTATTCGCCCGAGTTCGTCACCCTTTGCAGCACCGATACTGTTCACACCGAACAAAGGACGGGGGTTTTCGCATGTGCATCGACTACCGCGCCCTGAACAGGGTTATCATTAAATCCCATTACCCCATCCCGCGAGCCGACGAACTGATCGACCAACTGCGAACACCCTGTGTTTTCTCGAAAATCGACCTTCGAGGAGGCTACCACCAGATCCGAGTCAACCCACCCGACTGCTCCAAAACAGCCTTCCGAATACGCTACGGATCCTTCGAATACACCATTATGCCCTTCGGACTGACAAACGCCCCTGCCACTTTTCAAATGACGATGAGCGAATCCTTCTTACCGCTTTTAGATAAGTGCATCATCGCGTACCTCAATGACATGCTGATTTACAGCCCAGACAGAGGACAGCACCTACAAGACATAGAACCAGTTTAAAAGATACTGAGTTACGCCTACTCACAAAAGCCTCTAAGTGTGAGTTTTTACAGGACAAACTGGAGTTTTTTAGACACATCATTTCAAATGAAGGAGTGGAAATAGACCTGAAGAAGATCGTGACGATTCAAGCGTGGCACGCACCGACAAATTTGACCGAGCTGCAGAGCTTTTGGGGATTCGTCAACTACGAGCGCCGGTTCGTCCCCGACACGGCGAAGTTGACTACTCCATAGACCGACCTGCTGAGGAAGGGGGTTGAGTACACATGGGGGGAGAAAGACCAAGCTGCCTTCTCGGCCCTCAAACAAATTTTGTGCTCGCCGCCCGTTCTTCACATCACAGATCCAAACCGTCCATTCGAGCTCGTCACCGACGCTAGCAACATTGTCGTGGGAGCAGTACTATTGAGGACTTCGGGAACTGCCTCCAGCCAATCGCGTACGAGTCTCGCAAGCTTCACCTGCTCGAACGCAACTACCCAATACACGACCGCGAGATGCTGGCGATCGTGCACGCGTTCAAGGTGTGGCGATGTTACCTCATGGGAGCAGACATGACAGTATGGACAGACCACTGATCACTACAGTACCTTCGCGCCCAACCGAATCTCAACCCACGACAGATCCGCTGGTTGGACTATCCGGAGTCATGTAAACGAAAGGCGCATCAAATATCGACGCACTCACACGCTCCACAGCCGAACTCCACGGCATCCTACTTTCCCAAACCAACCCGCTATTAACAAGCCTATTCATCCACGGATACCGCACCTACCCATTTTTCACGACCGGAAATTCGCAGCACCTGGCAGAGGCAAAGGGAGCCTATTACGTAAAACAACCACCAACCGCATTTGGGTACCCGCGTACTCACCACTGAGGGAGCTGTTACTGCAGGAGGCACACAACGGGATTACCTCGGGACATTTCGGGGTAGAAAAAAAGGCGGTAATACTATTGGCCGGAGCTGTTGACTGACGTACAGCACCACGTGGGCTCATGCCCTACATGTCAGGTGACGAAGAGCTCGCGAAAAAAAAAAAGGCGGGTCAATTGTAGCTGATTCCACTGCCCGAGCGCGCCTGGCAGCAGGTTACCATGGATTTCGTCATAGGGTACGTTCGAACCCTGGGGGTAACGACGCTGTTATGGTCGTCGTTAACAGATTGACGATGATGGCAAACTTCGCTGTGTGCAAGAAGTCGATCTCAGCCGAAGAAACAGGGCGCCAGTTCATCGCAACCGTCGTACACCTGCACGGGATACCAGCCGCGATGATCAGCGACCGCGACACACAGTTTGCTCGTCATATCCTCTGGGAGTAATCCGGAACTAGGCTACAGGTTGCTTGTTGTACCACCCCGAGACCGACGTGAGAAGAAGGGCAGCCCACAAGGCGCGCCTTGGGCAGGAGCGACTGTCGCTCCGGTCGGAAAAAGAAGTTTCAGTGGTGGGCCCAAGGAAGCGTTCCCACTAGGGAACCTGCTCTATACCATGTGAAGAAATGAGGAATGAATGAACTAGCAAGCAGGTGGGTACAAGTAGGAAAGCCTAGAAGTGTTGTACCCCATATTGTCTACCCCACTACAGCCTACACAGCCTATAGCATATGAGTTTAACACACCCCCATAGGCAAAGAGGGGGAGAACAAGAGGTCACAAGACCAGTCAAGTAAAGCAAAGCAAGCTCAGGGTGGATCACAACGTCACCACACAATCCGAGCACAAGAGCAAGGCCAAAAGGCCAGTTCACATGCAAGATCATATATAAAGGTAAACAAGCAAGTGCAGGTATAGAAAGATCACAGTACAAGCAAGGTCAAGAAGTGAGCAAGTGAGGTCAAGTAGGCACAAGTCCTAGCATCGTACAGAAACGCTGATGATCACCAGGCGGAAGTGCCTTGGTAAAGATATCAGCA